ATTGTATTCACAGATCACATGAATCTCCTATACTTCAGATCTGCACAGCAGCTGACTCGCCGACAAGCTCGTTGGCAGCTCACCCTCAATGAATTTGATCTTGAATTCCACCACGTTGCAGGAACCAAACTTGCTGCTCCTGATGCTCTTTCACACCGTCCCAATCACCATCCCACCAAAACAGACAATCAGGATGTAGTTCTACTACCTGATGACATGTTTATCTGATTAATTGACCTTGAACTCGAAACAGCACTGAAGTCCGACAATCCTATTGAAGATCCTATAATCAAAACAGCAAGTGACGCACTAGATGGACTCTGCCTCCCCCCAATGAAGTTGGCATTATCTGATTGGAAGTTTACTGATGGTATTCTCCAATACAAAAACCAAGCCTACGCACCCCCTGCATTACTAAGCCGTATTTTACAGCTTCACCATGATCACCCTACAGCAGGACACCCTGGAAGATTCAAGACCGAAGAATTAGTCAAACATAACTATTGGTGGCCCCAGATGGGCACCTTTATCCAAAAATATGTCAAAGGATGCGCAACGTGTCAGCAGATGAAATCTGACACTCACCCTACCACACCTCCGTTAAAACTGATCAACTGCTCTGGTGTACGCCCCTTTTCACAGCTTACCATTGACCTCATCACCGACCTCCCTGAGAGTGGTGGATATGACTCTGTCATGGTCATGGTAGACCATGGGCTTACAAAGGGGGTAATTATTTTACCTTGCAAGAAGAACATCACCTCAGAAGGAGTAGCGCAACTATTTTTCAAGAAAGTTTTCTTGCCACATATTACAGTGACATATTTCCATATTATACGGGTCACCCGACCTACATAATATCCCGTATAAGACGGGCCAGTGGATGATGGGCCGATGTGATGTATATCCTCGATGTTGATGCATGGGCCGGGAGGGATATTATTTCCGATGGAGGCGGGTGGGCCCATGTGTGGAATATGTAGAGTAGATGAGTGGGCTGATGGACATGAATATTCTATAGACAGATGGGCCGAGGTAGTTGGATATTATGTAGATGGGTGTACCAAGGTAGGTGGGTATCAGAGAGATGGGTATGCCGAGGGTACTTGTCATCACATACACAGTGGGGCCCAGATATATACTATATTAGATGGGTGGGGCCGGCCGAGGGTACATTGTGTCACATACACAGGTGGGGCCCAGATATATATTATCTTAGATGGGTGGGCCGAGTGTCAAGGAAGGTGGTATCAGATAGACAGGTGGGGCCGGCCGAGGGTATTGTTATCACATACACAGGTGGGCCCAGATATATATTATCTTAGACAGGTGGGCCGAGTGTGAAGGTAGGTGGGTATCAGATAGATGGGTGGGCCGGCCCGAGGATACATTGTGGTCACATACACGGGTGGGCCCAGATATATTATCTTAGACAGGTGGGCTGAGTGTCAAGGTAGGTGGGTATCAGATAGACGGGTGGGCCGGCCTAGGGTACTTGTTATCACATACACAGGTGGGCCCAGGGATATATTATATTAGACGGGTGGGCCTAGGGCAGTATATAATATAGACAGGTGGGCACAGGTGAATGATAATTGTAAAACAATGCAGTACCAATTGCCGAGTAGCTAATTCGGGTGAAGCATAATGAGTTCCTGCAGCTGCAGGTTCATTACTGTTGCATTGCTGTATGAGAAGCAAGGTTCCGACTACCAAAATTCGAGTGAAGCGTACCGAGTTCCAAGACCCAGGTGTCAATAAACAAATATCTGATATCCAGCACACTTCCAATGATCGGGTATTTTATTGAGCAACGGATGGTAATATATCTTCGACAGCCAACATCATGGAAGGTTCTCTTTATCAGAACCTCATGTTCACCACCTACCGAACACCAAATCCCAAGTTCCAACTACCGAAATTTGAGTGAAGTGTGCTGAGATCTGAGCCCCGGGAGTCGACAAACAAATATCTGATATCCAGCACACTTCCAATGATCTGGTATTTCGGCTCCCTTATCTGATCCTGACTATCTCCACCCCCTTTAACACCAACCTCTGGGCGTCCAGCATTCAGCTTCTGATTTCCCAAGATCGACTTCATCATGAATAGTTCTTCCACTTCTGCAATTGAAATAAGCCTCTGGCGCACTTGGACCCTGACAGTCACTCACGAGGCATGTGAATATACTGCACAGAAATTCAATGCAGAAAAGACAGGAGGAGACCCGGTGATACCTTCTCCTAACCTAGACACTGATCTAGTGATGGCCTGCGATCGATTGGTAGATCACCTCATAAAGGCATATAAAAATCTGAGTGGGTCTTCCTGCAGATTCGGAAAATTCATTTGATCATTCAAATTCCTTCAATTGTTACAATAACATTTACTCCTATTTCATTTTTCTTCTTGTAACCATGCCGCTGACTCTAGACCCGTCTAGACACGGCTATTCTCTTATCAAGTGGGCTGTCCACACTTCCCTTCTTCTTGATTGTAACATAGATACTATCTTGCGCCGCATGGCTGGTTTCACCTATCTTTGCTATCTTGATAGGTTGTACTCTTTTTCCTATCTCTGTTACCTTTCTCGTCGCAGCTGCGCCGCTTCCTTTTTACTATATAAACCCCATGTACTACAGTTGTATTCCTTAACTTAATCTACTGGGTTTTCCCCTTGAAACCTGATCTACTAGGTCTCCACCCTAGTAGCCTGAACTCTGATTCTAAGACAGTCACTCACTGTCTTAGCCTGAACCTTTGATTGTGGTAGAAGTGCTAAAACCACTCACCGCCTAGGCAGAAGTGCTAAAACCACTCGCCGCTGATCCTGCATAGAAGCCGTGGCTTGTGCAGCATGAACCCTTGAACTAGAAACCTTCCTTGTCCTTGGAAGGCCGACGAACTGTTGACTGAGTGATCTATCTTTGATCCTCAACAGCAGAACTATCCCAGTCGTAACATCAATCACAGTTCAGATGAACATCAACATTGGAAGATATAGCAAATTGATCTCCCTGAAGAACACCAGGCACAATGAGGAGAAAGAGGAGAAGTTGCTTAAGAGATGTCCTCCCGGCCATGAGGGGACAAGGTTTGTGGACATACCCACCACCATTCTAGATGTGTCCGGCACCATCATCGCATGGTACCTCCCAGACGCCCTGACAGCCAAAACATGTTACAAGAACATCTAGATGCTTGGGCCCCTACCATTTTTCTCCTCATCCTCCTCGTCTCAGCCCTTGCATCATACCCTTACCCCGACCTCACTCTTGTTATCCTGGTCATCCTCGCATTTCCCTTCGCCCTCTACCTGTCGCTGCAGCAAAGCCAGTACATCTGGCCGGATCCTTTTGCTGACGAAGCATACCCGTGCTCCGTCCCACCACCTGACTGATCCTGTGGACAGTCCCTTTACCATTACTGTCCAGACGGTAACCTATGATACGATGCACAACACATCCCCTTTACCCTGTTCCCTTTCTTGATCTATGACTCGGTGCGCAGTCGCACATGTGTACTTATATTTAACTCTGCAGTTGCACGATCGTGCCCCTGCGCGTTTCACTTCTTATTTCGATCTTTGACTCACTTTCTTATCTGCACGTTCAGGTTCACTCGTATCTCACCTCGAACATGCCTTCCTTTTATGGTCTTACCCTTTATCACTTACCTCTCTTGGTAGTACGAGTTATCACCCACTAATACGCTTCCTGTCCTCTATATAAACTCGCCACCATGTACCATATTCCTTAACTTGAATCTACTTGGTTCTTAACCTCCTACTCTCACAAGAGTGATCCTTTCTGCCTAGCCAGCAGTCTATATTCTATCTTCTTATCTGCTCTTCACGGATAAGTCTTTAGTCTCAATCTTTACTCATTGACTTAGTCGACGAGCAAAGCCCCTGTTAACTAGTCGGACTTCTGTCCTTCTAATTAACGACGATCTTACGATTAACCTTCGGGTGTTGTAAGCCTTGGCAGATACAGCTCATCGTCTAGCACCCGCTTGACATAAGCTACCTGATTTGGATATAGGCGTCAAATCTTACTTGCCGAAGCCTCGCCAAGTAAGACCCCTAACCTTGGGCCAGCCCAAGGATGTTCTCGACCGTTGACGACACACGCTCTGTTTGAGCGTCGCCAACAGATACCATCCAAGTCATAACAAAACACAGGTGGTTGATATACATTGTTACTCAATATATATTAAATACCAAATGGTAACCACAGAAGGAAATTTGGGCAGCCACCGAGTTGCTGTCTCCGAGTCTGGAAAGAAGTGTGAAGGTTGATGGGAATTGGCGAACCAATCCGGAGTGGTTCAAACACCGATCAGAAGATGTTGGCCTAGCTGCTGGGTGCATTAATTTATCTCTGGCATGGTTTCAACAGGGGCATGAGGTAGGATTTGATAGGATGGTGATTTCAGTAGTTGAGCACACCAATCCCATAGAATCTAGCGGACCCGGAGGTATCTGCATCATTAAAGGGACCATTGTCCGAGGGAATCCTAAACGCCATTGCGAGGCCGGCAGCCATTGCATCAGTGGTGCTCAGGATCATGCATCCAGAGCAGTACTGGGCAGGGTTATGAACATTTTCAATCCTTGGAGAAAAGGCAGAAAGCAAGGAACTGCCAAGAATGTCCAAGATCCTCCAGTACTGGGCATCCGTGTTTAACACGCTATCCATCATTTCCAATCATCAAACCCCACATCATCGAGACCATTTATCAATTCCTGAATGCTTCAATATTCTCACCACTGTGGGGAATTATTCTAATGCTGGATGAGCATGCCAAGCCTTCAGCTGGAGTTCGGGTACAATCCTGGGTGTATGATTGGATTTTCCGGAAGGATTGTCAGACATGGGGTTCATGAGGTGGAGGGGGGATAGGGTTGGGTGGGCATGGTATATGAGGGACTCTGTTCATATTTATGCCAGGGTTCCCTCATGCGGATGGGCTAGGGTGGATTGACGAACCCTACCACCATGTGGAAGATGAAACAAGTAGAAAGTGTAATTACCTGCGTCAGTACCTGCTTTCGACTACCAAGTACAAACTGTCTCTCTTGATGACACTCGAGGTCCGAAATCCATAGTGGATGCATACAATAACTGTCCAGAGCCTTCCATGTCTCTTAATGACACTTGAGCACCAACACATTCAGCGTGAGGGAGTGGGGTTTCAGTTGTGGTGCGCAGTTACAAAAGGCCAGCCCTGGGTTGGAGTAGCGCAGACAATATCATCGACCTTACACTAGGCAATGCTAAGAAGAACGGTCTGTTGCAAAAGGAACCTACAAGTCAAAAGGGCACAGAGAAGCAAAGAAATGTAAGTATGAATGCTGCTGTACAAATTTGAAAATGGGACTGGGGCGATGGCTATCATTGTATTTAGACTCAGATCCTATCGACAGTCATCAAGGCCAGGAGCTCGGCAACCGGGTCTCGGCACTCGGGTCTTGATATTTGGACCTCAGTAGTTAAATGCCAGGAGTTGGGAATCGGTAATGGAGATCTGGAACTCAAAGTTCGATATTTGGCAGTCAACATTCGGTACTCAACGCTCAGACCTCGGAACTCAGTACTCGACACTCGGACCTTGGAACTCGATATTCGGAGCTCGGTAATTGGGTCTCGGCACTCGGGTGTCGATACCCAGACCTTGGTAATTATGTTCCGGGAGTCAGGAATCGGTAATGGAGAATCCAGAACTCAGAGTTTGATATTCGGCAGTAAACATTCGGTACTCGACGCTCGGTACCCAGACGTTTCAGAACTTGGTAATCAGGACTTGATATCCGGAACTCGGTAATTGATATTCGGAACTCGACACTCGATATTTGGAGTTCGGCAATCGGGTCTCGGCACTTGGGTCTCGATATTCGGACCTCGGTAGTTAAACTCTGGGAGTTGGGAATCGGTAATGGAGATCCGGAACTCGGAGTTCGATATTCGGCAGTCAGCATTCGGTACTCGACGCTCGGTACTCAACGTTCAGAACTCGAAACTCGATATTGGAGTTCGGTAATGGGGTCTCGGTAATCGGGACTCGATATCTGGACCTCGGTGGTCAGGACATGGTGATGAACATCTGCACCGTTTATTTCGGGACTCGCCATATAACATCATGTTAGATATTGCAATGTTTACAAGCAATTTTCAGTACTCATAAAACACATATGCAACTTGCACTTCAACATTTCCAACTGAGTGACTAGAGCTACTCTGCCTCTCTTCAATCTGTCCAGCATGGCAGGTAGATTTGTATCTCTGCCATTTGTCACGGATGCCCTCACGTTGCTCTTCAAGTAATGTCAGGAGGCATTCTCTAATCCACCTCAGTCCCATCAGTGATGGAACTGAGGTATGATCCACCTGCTCCGGAATTGTCAGACCATCATTCTCAATGCCATCCTAGAGCAGATCAGTCATGAATTAAGGAAATGGAATAAGAATCTTACTAGCCAATGCTGGTAGTGAAAGATACAGCAAGTCATCACCCGATCCCATTGCCATGGTTCGTTCAGGATTGCAGTTTCTCCCATCCACCATGGGGTATCATAGCTGGATACGATCCGGGATGGATCTCCAGGATCTGCAACATCATGAAACACACAGATGTGATACAAAAAGATGTGATCCGGAACCACGTTCCAGGTGTGACCAGGAATCAAATGAAGAATATGAGCAATAGGGCTGGGAACGACCGAAATGATGTTCCTGGCAGCTGAGTACTGGAGGATGGGCATGACAAAAGTCTATGGAAGATGTCAGCATTAACCGCCAGTGTTGTCAGGGTCTTACAGTGATCTCCCATTGCAGCCTGGCTTTGAAGTGCCTGATCCGAGCCAAAGGGGGAAGATTGTTGTTTGCAGCCTCCACCTGATATTGGGAGATGGATGCGCGGATGCACGATGCAGACATCAACATAGTAGCTGAAATGTCTGCAGGAGTGAGAGTGAGGGGCCAGTACTCATTGAGGGAATTCTCATTGTCAGAAGTGGATGCAGGAGAAGGATATAATTCAGGCATGGCTGATGCAGGAGTATCACACTGGCAATGGCAATGACAGTTGGTTCAGATGTGAAGATATCATCCACTGATGGATGGATAAATTTTTCAAACTCCGACATGGGCTGACCCGGCCAATTCCCAGGACTAAATTTGTATATTGAAATGGTTGTTATATCCCATCAGCAATAAACCATTCATTCATCTCGGGAATCTATCAAAACAGTTTGCAGGTATTGAAATGCTACCTGGGCATCCTGCACCAGCAATGAATACATTTGGGATTGCCTTCCGGAGTAGCATGCATGACCCAGAAGTCATTTCGTGAATGATTCCTGCATCTGGTCGCCCCATTGGGTTGCTTTCCACAAGAAAAAGTTACATGTCCAATCCATCTCGAATTGGACCAACATCAGCTCTTCCTTCCATCGATCCTGTAGTGCCTTTGCCCAGAGCCAGTGAACTCGGTAAACTTCATATTCGTCCGGTCAGCTCAAAGTCGGACGTGTCAAGCATTAGGGAACTCACATTCCTCATTCCATGATTGATCCGGACCATGCATGTCAACCTCAACAGACCAGAACCACGCGAGGGATTCATTTTGTTGACCACGGGCATTCGGATCACCCACGGCAGTGCTGACTTTGAGCTGCTCGTGAAGCAGGGGTTTGTACTTCTGAAGTTGGCCATGCCCCAAGTCAAGTTTCATCATTTGCATCCTGGTCTTGGTATATATACTCACATGCAGGGAGACAGCCTGCTGCACTGACATCACCTGCAACCAGGCTCGAGTTTTCAGGGCTTGAGATTTGGCTTGCCTGACCGTCGTTGGGAATAGGACTGCCTTATTGCACAAGTGAATGCAGAGGTTGTGAAGTGCATCATTTGCCTGCCCTTTGTGAAGGGACATCTCCAGTGGAATGAGATCCTCTGCCATCAAGCGTCTGCATCGATCTACCTCGAGGTTTGATGGCAATGGGATCACAATGAGCTCGGGCAAGTTCATTTATGTATCAGATGTCTTGGTAAAATCTTCCGGGTCATCATCGAGATCATCTAGGATGTCTACATTCAAGTCGTCATGATTGTCATCTCCATCGAATCCCTCTCCGAGATGTGTGACAGCAGAACGCGTAAATCCATCTATCTGGCCTTGGAGACGATCTTGTTGCCGGGCGAGGTCTAATCTCTGTCTCTCTGTAGTTTGTTTTCCGATTCTTCGGACCTCGATGAGCAATGCAATTTGAGCCTCCTCAATTGCCAACCCCATAGATATCCATGTTGCCACAGATCTCTGAGATGGTGCTACATTACAGGCATTACCCTGCTCTAGCAGTCTAAGTTCAATATCCTTTTTGCTCAGTGCTGAGTGCGAAATTAATTCGGACTTCTATGGAGACATGGTCAGCTTACCCTTCTTGATATTTATCTCGTAAACATCCATCGCCGCAGGATCATTTATTCTGCTGGATTGAGCAATCATCTCGTTGGCCAACCATTCTGTCTTCAAATTGGTGGGTGCTGCTTCATTGAGTCTGTTGAAAGCCTTTTTACTTTCGGCGATGCAATTTTTTGCCTGCTTGTATTTACGGCAAAGGGTCCTTTTCATGCGGATCATCTTGCAGAAGTTGGAATCATTCATCTGAAAATCGAGACATTCCTGTCGATAAGGGGATGACATTCCCTGAGCAGCGGGGGAAATTAGGTTCAGACGTGCCCAGAGAGTCTCCATGATCTCTCCATCTATCCGGCCAATGTCTTCAATGAAATTCGACGCATATCAGATATAGCAGCTGTCTTGATGTCCATGCACATTGTCCTGCATGATGTGGAAATCATGCATGGACATGAATACTAGGTGACCCTCAAAAGATAAAGTCTGTTAGCTTAGTCCTCAGACTAGTCAACCCATACCTTGGTTTCAAACCATGGTCCATATTTCCAGTTTTCCCCAAGTTTTATGATCTGAATACATTTTGACGGAAAAAAAGTCTAATGTGAGATGGGAATCACATTTAGACCTAGTTGATGTGAGAAGGGAAATGAAGGTTAAGGTATAGCCTTGCCTTTGGCTTATTCACTTTGGCTAGAGAAAACCATAGAGAAAAGTACAAAGCCTATAAAAAACCTATCCAAAAAGACTGTGTTTCAATTCCTGCCAACTGTCTTATTTTTTGTTACCTACTTTTCTCTAGTGTTTCTTTACTTTACTTTTTCATTAGGATGCTTTGACTTACCTGACACTTCATAAAATTGTACCCATAGGGTATGATGTCATTATGATGTCATAAGACTCCACAGATACTCCTGCAGGTATTCTGTTGAAAGATATTATGTCATCAAGCTCTAGATTATTCTACTCCACAATGACATCATCCATGATGTCATTTCCTTCTAGAATATTCTGCTCCACAATGACTCACTCTGACTCACTCATGGAAGGTTCTGGAATCTTTTGCTCCACAATGATGTCACTCTTGATGTCATTATGATGTCATTACTCCACATTCCAGAATGTTCTGCTCCACAATGATGTCATAGCTCCATCTTTCACTTGTATTTTATTCTTTTATTGGGTTTGACCCAATATTTTGATTGGTCCTCCTTATTTTTTATTGTTTGTGAACCTAGGTTACTTTCCCACACAAAATGTATATAAGGAGAGCCCATTCTCCCCCCAAAAAAAAATATGATCTCCCATTTGTAGCAATCTGCCTATCAGATATTTCACTTGCAAAGTTAGTCCCTTTGAAGTGAGACAAGTGCAGGGAAAAGAATTCCCTTGAGATTATAAGTTTCTTACCTTAGAAACTTATTAGTGCTATAGACCAAGTGTTCTTGGTCATATATATTGTCTTTGAGACCCCTTTGTCTCATTGCTCTGTGCCCTTTGACTAAGCGATCTTAGTCATCTATCATATTGTTGAGACCACGTCTCACTAGTAGTCCCATAGACCAAGCGATCTTGGTCAAGTTATAGTCCCCTTTGTTCAAGCGATCTTGAACATATATTGTATATTTGAGACCATTGTCTCACAGTCAGGTGTCCATAGACCAAGCAATCTTGGTCATATTTCATATATTTGAGACCACGTCTCACTAGTTCCACTATCCAAGTCCAGAGCCTAGAAGGAGATTTCCTAGGCAAATACATTCCAGAAACCGAATTATGTGTCTAGAAGCTTATTCCTAGACAAGAGATTTGAGTTTCAATAAAGAAAAGTAAAGCTCCGGCTAGATTGATCTTGACAAAGATTAGTTTAGCGAGCCTCCCAAGAACTCACATGTTATCTACCACGAAATAGGAAAAGTCGTAGACCGTGTTAATCGAGGACTGGCAAGCAGTCTTATCCAAAGTGTAATTGTGGTGTCATTACATTTACACGACTTTATATAAGACCTTCGGTTATTAAGACATCACGCCACAAACCGATGCCAGGAATGATGGTCAATTCTGGTACCATTTCAAGAAATCGGCTTCGATCCACCTGAACCCGAAGGTGCTTGTTGTATTGACAGTTGATGTCATAAAAGGTGACAGCCCTGGTAATGCCTTCCATGTTGTGCTGGGCAGCCTCGCAAAGGGCGTAATCCATGTTCATTTGTCTGCAAACGATGCATGATCAACTCGTGAATGTAGAACTTCATGTTCGGCTTGCCTTTCGCCTTTCTGAAAATTGACCATCGCATGAGGCACAAAGCAGCCATGGCGGGCACAAGCAACTCCCCCGATACCTGTCGACTCCAGCTTGTGCCGAGTCGCATTTGCTTGATTTACTGCCCGGTGATTGTTGCAGCTAGATTTTTCCAAAGTGTCAGCAGCCTCTGTAAGATGCGCTTTATACCTGTCCTTTCCCACCATGAACCCCAGCCCATCTGCAAGCCATACTTCATCAAATGGCTTGATGGGATGCAAGTGTTTGGCTTTGAAATTACCGTCCATCACAAATGACCGGGTATATTTCCAGCTTGGAGTTCTTATCATCACTTAGGTCACTTAAGTATGAAACTAGACTCACTCATCAAGTGTTTCATTCCCTGACAAGGATATGTTGATCCCAGGCTGAGGACATGTCGGGCAAAACAATGTGAGATCTCCGGCATTCGGGGTGTTGGAACGATGACCGAAGCCATGCCATTTCATGGTCTTCAACTGCCTCCACTGTCGAGCGACTCTCATGAGCTCTCTGTATCAGTCCTTGCCAAGTGCCTTGTCAATATAATGTCCTTTAGATGAAGGAGATATATAATTACCGGAACAAGGTGAGGAAACATGCTGGAGGTCCTTCGCCGAAGCTTGCTGTAATAGTTCATTGTGGAGGTGCCGCATTCTAGGTTGTCTAATAGAAAATTGTCGAGCACTCTGAAGGTGAACACAGTCTTCGGTTTGTTGAATGATGCAGGGAAAAATCCATGTCAAAACATTTGAATGTCCAGACTCATGGCATTTGGACAATCGCAGCATCGAACCTTGAGGCGATGAACTCCGGACTTGTTGACGATGACCATGGTGTTTTCCTTAGGCTGGAACTCTGGTCCCAACACGGATGGTAGATCTTCAGGCTCAAGCTGGTCCTCAGGTTCGTCTCCTTCGAACAAATCCCACCTATTTGTGAGTGCAGGACATTCTTTGCCATCATGACCGAGGTGTATGACGAGTCCGACATGAGCGAGACAACTTTGCTCGAAGAAATGACCATTCCATTGACTGATCCAGTGGAAAGGATTGCGATGATGTTGACTCCTGCAACATCCCGTGCAATAGAGTGGCTCCCCAAGACAATCTTGACATTTGTAGACCCCATCCTGGTCGCAGACGATGCATCTCCTATCTTCTGGAGGAGCTTCTCGATCCAGGAGGTAATGCAGATATGATTCCTGCCTTGGGAGCCATTACCTCAGGTAGTCATTCTGGCTCTGCATTTGTTATACTTAGCAATGTTTGAACGACACTCCAATGGTTTACATTCACTTGCCATTGTTTTTGGAAGCTGCAAAGGCTCGAATGAGCCTTGGTCTTGCTCATAAGTATTATCAGGACAGTCTTCCCAAGTAGGTGGTGCCGGAACAGGCTGAAGTGTTGGTGATTCCGGGGGAGAGTTAGGCATGGACCTGTAGGCATGTCGTCTTGCGCTTGCAAGCGGGACCTTGACCCAAGTTTTCCTACCTTTTCTGCCCCTTGCTTCTACCCTGTGTGATTTTTGCAGCAGGGGTGCATAGACCTATCTTCATCTTATTTTTGAATGTTGCAAGAACAGCATTAGCTCAGGAAGGTCGCACGAATTGTTATTCCAATGCTATGTTTGTGCAGTATTGGTTGTTCATTACAAATTTATTTCCATTAATGGCATCATGTCCGATATGGGTTGATTAACCAACTGTTAGGCTTTGGTCAAAGTTGAACTTCGAACCAATATTAATTACGCCTTGCTTACCCTCAGCACATTCACCAATCAGAGTCACCATGGCAAGATCAGGTCATTCCACTCGCTTGTCTCCTGGAAGACATAGGGCACGTCAACCCCAGACACAGAAGCTCACAGAAACCAAAATTTCCGAGCTGAAGAACTACCTTCCTGAGTGGACTTCTGCAAAAAGGAGCGAGAAGCTGGGCAGTTTTCACTGCAATTGCCAGGGCTGCCAGGTTGTTTGCGCCAAAGGTGGACCAAGGACAATGGAAAAAGAGGAAGCAGGTGATACATCCTTGTTGTGATGCGAAACAAAATTTTTAATGTCTTACACTTCCTTCAATGCTCAGATGTACAAGACTTGGTTGTTCAACAACAAGAAAAAGAAGGAAAGGAAGGACATGATAAAGTATGGGAGGAAATGGACGCCTAGGATGGTGATCTACCAGGAGAATCAGGAAGAGGTGCTGAAGAGGATCAAGGATGAGTCCAGGGCAAAGCCAGGAGATCCTGGTATGTTCAAGCATTATCAGGCGGCTGTGAAGAGAGTCATGGCTGAATTGTCCGACGATGAGTTGGAGAAGGCGAAAGAAACCGCTGAAGAATGGTCCAACAACTGTCCTCCTCCCGAGATACAAGCACAGGTCACCTGTAAGAAGGGACCTGCATATATGGAGCACTTTTCGAAGGAGATGTGGAGGCAATGCGGGATGAGAGTGTTTGTGTTGTCAGCTTGGAAGAATGAACAGGGTGAGGTGCTGTTCGGGATGTGAGTGAATTTTACCTGTCATCGCAGATCTTTCAACCCAATATATTTCACGCAGGCACGATGATAACGAGGCATTAGGAGATGGGGACAGCTTCATGAAGACAAAGGACTGGGAGGACATCGAGCCGGTGTGGCAGGAGTACTGCCAGGAACAGTTCGGTGAGTGTTTAAACTGTTGATACCCGGAGGGGTGTGTTGATGGTCTCTGTGATAGGTGCCGGAGCACGGGAAGGTGGCTGACAGATGAAGGGAGGTCGCAAGAGAATCCGAAAACCAGCCTTCGAGCTCGACACTGACGAGGATGGGATGCTGTTGCTTCCGGATATCACTGAAACAAAACTCGAGGAGAAGAAGGCCATAGTCAGGGCTTTTCTCACATCTCACTATCGTGAGTCAATCCTTGCTACATCCGGGACATTGTTGAATGCATCGACATAGGGATTTGTTCGGGGATCGACAAGGCAGTAGTGCCATGGAGTGCCATCCTTCAATGCCAGGATGACTTTGTGTCACGAAGATATCTTCCAGCAGGATGTCGACTTGAAGGAGCCTTCCAAGTTGCAAAATTGGGACACAATGGCCCTCCTCAATTTCTGGTATGCTCAGCAGGAGAAAGGCGAAGGATCAACATTCACGTTCAAAGCATGGAAGAACAAAGATGGCAACATGGTAGCATCGGTCGTATCAGGCGGGTTGCCTTCCCATCGGATGGGTAAAGTCAAAAACATGCAAAGGGTAATCATCCGAAGCCCTAGGGATTCAACCTCTGAACCCAACAGTAATTTTGGGAATGACACTCATCATACGGATGATGATGATGATGATGATAATGACTCGGCTGATGGTAGATCACCGAAAAAGAGAACCAGAACCGGAGAAGGTCCTTCATCATCACATGCAGAGACAGCAATCCCACCATCAATTCCGAAGCCTTGCCCCGTTAAGCCGGTGAAATGTGGTGCACTGCTGACATTGCAAATGGGAGACCTCCTGGCAGGGTTAACCAACGGCAACACTGGTGAGGTTGATGATGATGTTGCAATGGAAGGGAGGAAAACATCGCTGGCTCCGAAAAGGATGCAGGGAAAGAAAGCAGTGATTGAGCCATCGGCGAGGACCACCTGGAGTAAGTCGACGCCAAAGCCATTCGACAGTACTTCTCGGGTGACAAGAGCGAGGGGAAGGAAGTGATGTACTTATCCCACACTGTCTCCCATTATGTACATATCCATGTCATGCAATGGGAAGTAGGTTATTAGTGCACTGGACTTGAAACATGGACCCAGTGATTGATACTCAGGCCTCGGTAGTCCTTGGATAGTGAATAAATTGGAAATGGGAGTTCCATACATCCATAATTAAGTAGTTTACATGACGTGAGTGGGTTCATAAACATTCAAAAGTTCACAGGTAATTTGTCTACTAACAGAAATTGTGTAATTTACATTTGAATTTGATCTTCAAACCTAAGAATGAGGGAATCTAATACCTTGAGCATTTCGGAAGTCAAACATTCAGCTCTTTGCAGCCTCCAGAGGTCTTCATCAGCTCTTCTGAGTTTGTCAGATGTTTCTGCCCAGGCAGTTTGGAATGGTCTCTCAGCCTTGAGTAGTTGTTGGATGGATGGGTCAGGAATATGTCTGTGTTGCTGTTTGTAATCCCAGACCCGATCTTGAATGGATTGAACTAAGAGACAAATTAGCAGAAAGATAAATGATTATATCAGATACTCACTGCCCGTGTGATTGTAAGACTCAAATGGCCGGAGATCCCGGACCATGGCAAGCAATTCTTCATAAGTGACATCTGGGTGTGGCAAATCACATTCGGGAGATTTTGCCATTGTTTGGGAGATGAATTAAGTAAGGAAACCTGGATGGTAGGGAGAAACCTACATGCCCTGGATACTACTGGTGCACCTGAGACCTCACTATCTGAATCAGCATGCTCCTGCTTCACCTCACAGTCGATCAGATCATCTTCAGGGCCTAAATACATGTCTGGGTGAATGGGGGAACCCGGTTGATCAGGTTGGGCCGGAAGAGATTTATCTGTAAGGGTTTAGTGAACAGGGATGGTGAGATGTTTTGATTGACAGACCGTGGAATTCTGGCATAAAATCTTCATCAGGCCCGAGGTACAGGTCAGGGTGGATGGGTACATCTGGGTGATAAGGTTGGGCCGGAGGTGATGGATCTGTCAGGCTTTAGTAACCAGGGATGGCCGGACTTTCTATTTCAATCGATGAACATACCCGGGATCTCAGTCATAATATCTTCATCAGGCCCGAGGTAGAGATCCGGGTGGATGGCTAGACCCAGCATATCAGGTTGGGCCGGAAGTGACTGATCTGCAAGATTTTCATGTCAACATGCATTGTTAGATGATTTAAATAATACTCACCGTGCATCCCAGCCATCAGGTCATCCTCAGGCCCGAGGTATAGGTCCGGGTGAACCGGGAGGCCTGGTTGATCACATTGAGCTGGAGATGAATGATCTGTGAGATTTGAGTGACCATGGATGATTAGATGGTCATCATATCAATTGATAAACTCACCGGAAATTGAAGAAAAGACCTCCAGACCATTGGATGACACAGAACATGATTCTGGGTCATCAGCCGGCTCAAGATTTAATTGATCTGAGGATGTCCGGTAAATTGATAAGGTATGATGGATGTTGAACATACCTGTTGACATCTGGGACACGGTTGATTCATCCACATCCATTGAATCTAACTGTAGCATGGGAGTTCATATTCTGTGAGGAACTGATCAACTGATTCACTGATTATTGATAACTTCAAAGTTGAACACAAGGCACCGGCAATTGCCGAAAGTTGAATCACGACCAAACAAGGACAAACAATCAATGAAATTTTACATTGTTAATCACTGATCTTGTTTTTACTGAAACATCATCCTTGTGATAACTGATTTCAACCTGAATATAACTTGATTTCTACCTGATCTCAACACTTTCAACACTTTCAATTGAAATACCATGTCTACTCCAGTTGACACCTCTTTGACCAGCCTCAAGGAAATCACTGCCAAGATCATGGCCATCATCACCGGCGCTTGGCAGCTTCCTCCAGGCCACAGCCATTTTTCTCTGACAACCCAGGTCAGTACACTTGTGGTATGTAGCATTGTCATATTCTCTCCCCTTCATTTTTTTCATCACCCAGGTAGGCCGATGCGATCCAGCAATATGGGAGTGGTCCCTACCTTCCAGGTCTTGTGTGTTCATGCTTGAGGGAGTTAATTCGTGTTCAGGGCATGACTCCTCAGGTCTGGCCCAACTGGCACAGCAAGGTTCTTGCTTGGGAGGAGTTAGGTGATCACACCTTTGATCTCCCAGTCGTGTCCGGTCCTTCAGTAGGTCCAATTCCTGTGGATCTTCCACCCTCGCCTGTCATCGCCAGGCCTTCTACCAACCCTGCCTCCGAGTCCTGGGAGAAGGGAAAAGGTAAGGCAGTTGTCCCGGACCCAGAACCAGAATTGGAAGGAAGTCGGAAGAGGAAGTCTCCAATGATTCTGGCACTTCCCTCCCAACCCCCAAAGTCCGCTATGAAGACTCGGAAGCGGGCGAAGACCACCGGCCTTGCCAAATTCAAGGTGTTTGTTGAGTTAGAAGATGAGGAGGACTTGGTCACTCAGGTATGTCCTCTGGTTCATTGTTTCATTGTCTTACTCATTTTGTAGCCGATTTCATGTGGGGTTCCAGAGGTCGTCCTCCCCCGGCTCTCCCCAGATGTTGCAAGGACGTCCGGATCACCTCGGTCACCCTGGAGCCCAAAGAAGAAACCCTTTGGGCCTGCTACAGTAAGTCACACTTTTGCATCCAACACTCAGGTGAGTCCTTACAATGTGCCAGGCAATTGCTGGCAAACGTCCGGAGGTCATCGAGCCCCCTCAGGCAACTCCCGAACCTCCAGTAGAGGTGCCCCCAGTCATTGATGCAGGTGATATACTCATTCCCGGACCCGTAAGTACACCATTGAGACTTGGTGTGTCTATGAGATGGAATGGCCCTGCGCAACTCGATTTGACAAGAGGACCGGCGCCCCATGCATGTCCTGCATCTACTGCACCACCAAGAAGATCAAGTGCATCTCCATGAGTATGGGAACCCCGCTGAAACACGTTCGAGGTCAATCCGTCACCTGGACCACCAGGAGGACCAGATCCAGGACCCCTTCCAAAGCTCCCTCCAAAGCTCCAGCTGCCTTGCAAACCACCGGCCGGACGCGGAGTCAATCTCGGGTCTCTTCCGTCACTCCCGGTCCATCTGGTGCCCAAACACCAAAGGTGCAAACACATGGTCACAGCAAGACTGTCACTGCTGCCAAGGAACCTACACCTGCACCAGCTCGTAAGTCACCCAAATTTTCTATGTCCATCTGACATAATGTTCCACCTGTAGCAGTCCCATCTTTGACTTCCGGAGTTCCTCGTTCGGCACTCGATGTGCCAATGCCGGATTTGCATGCCATGGAAATGGCAATTTGGGAGGGTGCAGCTCGAGGAGCGTGTTGTTGAGCAGGATGCTAAGATTGACACCCTGCAATGCCTTCAACACAAAATCATCCTCCGGCACCCAACATTTCCACTTCCGGACGCCCAAGGTGATGCAACATCATTTTTGCTTCATCAACCTGTCCCTCCGGCCATGTCAACCCCCGCATCTGCACTTCCTCCTCTCATTGACCTGTCTATGGAAGGGATGGAGCCCAACCCCCCCAACCTCCAGGATGAGTCTGCCATTGACAGACTCATATTTGAGCTCAACCAAATTCATCCTGAGGTTTCACAGATGCCCGGCGAAATTGTGAAACCAGATGATCCAGGCAATCTTTTCCCAGAGTATGATTCAGTTGAAGAGATGGATGTTCAAGTGAAGGGTGAACCTTCTGGTGAGGATGTTGACATGACTACATAATTAATTAGTCATAGATGTATATGCAATGTTTTCAATCAATGTTACCTTTGTTATCAGTGACTTATCTATTCACCGAGTGCCGAGACCCGAGGCCTGAATCCTGCAACTCAAAACGAGTGGAAGACTAAATGTTACAAAATTGTTGACATGAAAGTGTAACTCCCAGAACACCAAAATCCAAAACTCAATGGTTGAATCACTGAGTACCAAGTACCGAGTGCTGAGTGCCAATGCCTGAAGCCCGAGGCTTGCAACAGAACACTGGACACAATACACCATATGGTATTTCTTACAAATTTCACGGAGGTCCCATCGCAAAACCACAAAACTTATCAGTGACTTATTGATTCACCAAGTGCCAAGACCCAAGACCCGAATGCCAAGTGCTGAGGCTCGAAGTCCGAAACACGAAATGAGTGGAAACGCACATTTCGCAAAATTGTTAACATGGAAATATTAGATTGTCTTCAACAGTTTGCCAGAAGTCATTTTCCGATCCCCAAGCCCAAAACATGAAACCCAGAAAACCCATAGAACTCATTACAGGTTTTCTGGGTTTCGGGTTTCGGACTCGGGGATCGGCAAAGGACTTCCAGCAAACTGTTGAAGACAATCTAATATTTCCATGTTAACAATTTTGCGAAATGTGCGTTTCCACTCATTTCGTGTTTCGGACTTCAAGCCTCGGCACTTGGCATTCGGGTCTCGGGTCTTGGCACTCGGCGAATCAATAAGTCACTGATAAGTTTCATGGTTTTGCGATGGGACCTCCGTGAAATTTGTAAGAAATACCATATGGTGTATTGTGTCCAGTGGTCTGTTGTGAGCCCCGGGCTTCGGGCTTTGGCACTCGGCACTCAGCATTTGGGTCTCAGGTCTTGGCACTCGGTGAATCAATAAGTCACTGATAAGTTTTGTGGTTTGGTGATGGGACCTCCATGAAATTTGTAAGAAATACCATATGGTGTATTGTGTCCAGTGTTGTGTTTTGAGCCTCGGGTTTTGGGCATCGGCACTCGGCACTCGGTACTCGGTACTCAGTGATTCAACCATTGAGTTTTGGATTTTGGTGTTCTGGGAGTTACACTTTCATGTCAACAATTTTGCAACATTTAGTCTTCCACTCGTTTCAAGTTGCAGGTTTCAGGCCTTGGCACTCGGTGAATCAATAAGTCAATGATGAATTCCAGGGTTTTAGGATTGGCACGTGGTGAATTTTGTAAGAAATTCCATATTGTGTATTGCTTCCAGCCTCAGGTTTCGCGGCTCGTGTTTCAGGCTTCAGCACTCAGCACTAGGTGATTCAATCAGTCAGTGGTAACACTTTCAGTTTTGCAGTTTGGCTCTCGGCACTCAGTGATATGTCTCAGGACATCGATATTTCACACATTCCTGCGAGTATCTAGTGTCCAGTCTGGAGCTTCCGGTCATCAAGTGTCCGGAATTCGAGACAGTGATTTCTCGTTGAAAAATGGATGTTGTACCATGGGATTCAATTTTCGGGTGTTGGGACTTGGCGATCCGTGCATGTCAGACAAGTGCTTTATATATCTATATAGTAAACCAATACCTTGGCCTATATGTCTACACAATATCTCCCTACCTCGGCCCACCAGTCTATATCATAAATAATTTCCTGCACTCTCGGCCCACCTGTCAATATAATAAATGTTTTACCGCTTGCTCGGCCCACCCATCTACAAAATTATTCTGTACATCGGCCCACCTGGCTATACAATGTACCTTTACATCAGCCCACCCATCTACAAAATGATTCCTATACATCGGCCCACCTGTCTATACAATGTACCTTTACATTGGCCCACCCATCTATATAATAATGATTGCCTCTCATCTCCCTTCAGCCTAGCTGTCTATAATATACATGTCCATCCTACTGTACATATTCCCCGGATGGGCCCACCCATCTCCATCGGTAAAAATATTCATCCCGGCCCATCCAACATCATCGAGCATATATATAACATTGGCATAGATGGGCCCACCCATCAACATTGGAAATAATATTCCCTCCAGCCCATCCGTCAACATCGGGGATATACATCACATCGGCCCATAGTCCACTGGCCCGTCTTATACGGGATATTATGTAGGTCGGGTGACCCGTATAATATGGAATTTGTCACTGAAGGGGCTCTTCTTGCCCTTTGGACTCCATGATAAACTCATCTCAGATCAAGGACCACAGTTTGCATCTAAGTTCTCTAAAGAACTCGGGAGACTGTTGGACTATGAAGTCGCACTCTCCACAGCCTATCACCCTCAAACCGATGGACAAACAGAACGACTAAACCAGGAACTTGAAACCTACCTCCGGATCTATTGCCGATCAAACCCTGAAACATGGGTAAAGCATATACCTATGGCAGAATTTGTGCATAACCACAGAAAGCACAATGCACAGAATGCATCCCCGTTCTTCCTCATGATGGGCTATGAGCCTAGAGGCATCACCTACTCCTTTCCACCATCCGATATACCGGCGGCCAAGGACTGCGTCACCAACCTCCAGAAAATAAGAGAAGAAGTGGTATCCTGTCACAATATTGCTATGCAACGAATGGCAGAAAGATCGCATAGGAAGAAGTATGAACCCTGGAAGATAGGGGACAAGGTTTGGCTATCAGCCAAGCATTTGTTGATGCACCTACCATTGAAGAAGCTTGCGCCAAAACAATACGGCCCCTTTACTGTTACCAAGGTGCTATCCCCTATCACTTTCACACTCCAACTCCCAGAACAGTGGAAAGTTCACCCTACGTTCCATGCATCCGAATTATCCTCCTATCAGGAGACAGAGATACACAGTCCAAATTTCATCGAACCCTCACCTGACATTATCAATGGGGTTGAGGAGTACGAAGTTGAAGTGATCCTCATGCACAAAGGAACAGCAGCACACCGTCACTATCTAGTATCCTGGAAAGGATACTCTTCTGCCAGCAATGAATGGCTCAAAGAAACAGATTTAGAGAATTCCCAGACACTTCTTCAAGCATATAAGAAGAAAGCGAAACTCGCTTGAACATCATCAACCTGTTATCCATCCAAGTAACATGTCCATTACCCCCTCCACTCATCGCTCAACTCTTGAAGAACAATTTATCCTTGATGAAAACTCCTCCCTCGCATCCTCGATACCCGACCCCTCATCTTCAGAGGATTCCGACTCCTCGCTTGCATCCTCTCTTTATTTCCAAGTCATTGATCATATTGAAGGAGACACGCTCTTTGAAGCAACAATACTATCTCAGCAACACGCCATCGAATTGGACAAAATCCTTCTCAGACGCCCCACTAGAAGTGCTGCGGTTATCTCAGCCATCATCAACATCATCAGAACCACGCACCTGATTGAACTATCAGCAAACATAATCCCGGGCACATCTGCCCAAGAAAGTCATGAAATCATTCACTGTCAGAGATGCATCCATTCCACAGCGCTTCAGCTTCTTCCTGATAGCCTTAGGACTGATCTCCTATCAGTTATACACATCATTGCCAACAGAACCGCGACTCAAGTCACTCGCCTGCCTTCTCCTCCTCCTGCTTATCCCGACACTCAGTCACAAAATCATAACCCTTCTCCCATTCCGATCCCAGTCAGATCACCGCAACCTCAGGTTGCCACCAGAGGGGGGAGACCCCCCAGAAACTGCTCTGTACACTCCAAAGGAAAGCAATGTGCAAGGGGAAGAAGCGCATCCCCTGAACCACAAACTGTCAAGGTCATAGATCTCACCTCTCCTTCTCCTCCTCCTGCCACTATGATCAAGAAACCATCTTTTGACAACATCAAGTGTCGTATCTGTAGCCAGTACGGACACCGTCATAAGAATTGCCTGCAATATGCTTGCATGGTGTGCCACGCCTTGGCTCCTGGACACCTCTCGGTCTACTGCAAAGACCTCAAAGGCACTTACCCACTCCCCATTGTCTATACCGACAATGGATTTTATGAAGCCCTCTGGAACTGGGAGGCAGATCAACGAGCATTCTATGAGCAAGAATGCGAACAGGCTGATGAAGACTACCGCTGTCAATCCAGCTCCACCATGGACATTGACGAGTTCAATAATGCAGACACCGACCTAGTCTATTATGATGATGCAAGGTTGGATAGTTGTTGAAGTCAGAGACTTCAACAGTTACACCAGGGTAATGTGACAATAACATTTAGCCCTACTTATTTTTCCTTTCTGTAACCATAGCGCCGACTCTAGATTCATCTAGACCCAGCTATTCTCTTCTAAAGCGGGCTGTCTGCACTTCCTTTCTTCTTTGTAACTTGACTACTATCATGTGTAGCATGATTGTTTCACCTATCTTTGCTATCTTGATAGGTTGTACTATTTCCCTATCTTTGTTACCTTTCTTGAACACGGCTGCACCACTCCTTGTTACCTATATAAACCCCATGTACAACAGTAGTATTCCTTAACTTAATCTACTGGGTTTTCCCCTTGAATCCTGTTCTATAAGGTCTCCACCCTTATAGTCTGATATCTGAATCTAAGACAGTCACTCACTGTCTTAGCCTGAACCCTTGATAGGCAGAAGTGCTAAAACCACTCGCCGCTGAACCTAGGCAGAAGCCGCCACGCTCACCTAGTGAGAACCCTTGATCCTGAACCCTCCTTGTATTAGGAGTTCAGAACAAGCTGTCAATAAGACTGGTCTATCTTTGACCATTGACAGAAGAACTATCCCAGTCGTAACAAACATCATGTTTTCAACCACATCTCAGTCGGCTGACATCATTTCTGTGATTCATGTGAGCCAAACATCAAAGTGATGGAACCAACATACCCTGCAGCTTGTTCCTGTCTTTTATTATTTATCTCCTCCACACACTGGCTTTGTTTACCAGCCATTAACACTTTGGAGCACCTGTTAGAACCACTGAAGCCATGCCTGATTATTGTGTGTGATAAGCCTGAAACCTTCTTAGATGAAGTACCATGGGAGGCCATCTTGGCAGAGAGGAGTATGGTCCTGTGGGGGAATGGCACAGAATGAGCAGCCTGAGGACAGGCTCAATACAATGGGTGCGGTGGAGAACCTCAACCACAGTGTGGTGTGCTGCATGCAGGAGGGGCTCAATGTTGGTATTGAGAAGGACAGGTAGCAGAGACTCAATGTTGATGTTGAGAATGATGGGCAGCAGAGGCCTGATGTTGACATTGAGAGGAACAAGCAGCAGGGGTCAAATATTTGCATTGAGAGGGAGCTCAATGTTGGCATTGAGCAGAGGCAGGAGGACAGCATCAGTGAGCTCGATGTTGAGGAGACAAAGTTGTGGGAATAGTTTAGATAGCTCGGCTGTATGTTATTAATGTTGATAATACATTAGTTAATACTGTCAGCTGGTTCCAATAATAACTTACAAGGTACAAGGTAAAAGATAATTTGGGGCAGGTTTTAATGCTGGTGTTGGGATTTAATGCAACCAAGGCAAATAATACTTAGTGAGGCACTTGATTGCCCAGTATAGTAATGCTTACTTATTGGGCAACCCGGGTGAATTCACAAGTCCTCTACCTTATTATACTGTAGAGATATGCACTTAGCTTTGACATCATCTGGGTGTGACCAACTGAACCTTAGCTTCGAAGATTTGAAGATGGGTGTGACCTGTGACATGTCAAAAATAGCTTTGAATCAGCACCACTACCAGCTGCTGTCAGCAAGAGCTCACAGCTGATGGTGATGAAGAAAATTTTGGTCATGTAAAGTGAGATGCATGGCAAATGATCAGTACAAGAATTTTTGAGAACATTTTTGCATTTTTTTTCATGTTTTACCGTGTGTCACAATTTACCTTCGATGACTTCAATCTTGTGTGACAGTCACACGAAATCGCTTCGATTCCTTGGACGTGTGACGCTGTGACGAAGCTAAGTGCGTTAACGTATCTCTACAGTACAATTTTCTTGCGTTCGAAGTGTCTGGTGTCCCAGCCATGTGACTGCCTGATTTGGTGCATGTCACATCGTGTAACGGAGCGCGCGTGTCCGGCTTTCCATACCCCAGCCACTCATTTCCTCGACGGGTCATCATCATTTCCTACTGTTCCTCGACCAGGATTCTCTCTGAATGAATGTATCACATGTGGTCTTGGTAAAGATTTTACCATAAAATTGGCCGGTTTATGTGATGCACGATTGTAGAATCATAGAACCTGCATAGAGTTGCTAGACGCTTATTACTCGTACCGAGTTTGAGCTCTCCGCCTCGGATTCTTGGTGCTGTCTGCGGCATAAATGTGAGCCGTCACCATTCTATTCGATTTCTCATTATCTTTAGTGACTTCTATGTCCGCCCGCAGGGTGATACTGACCGTGGGCTTTCTCGTAACATCCTTCTTCAGAAAGATCTTTGAATACGCAGTTTCTCAGCCTGCTATTTCTCTCAAATTTCTGGGTCAAGAGAAACCCCTTAGTAGTTCCGAACTTCAACAGATATTTTTTCAATATGAATTATCGCTCCTAGTCCTCATCGCGATTGGCATATTGTGCGAACTCATATGCACGGCCCTGATCTGATTGATTCGAATAGAACCACGATTTCGTCAGTTGTGTTCACATCAGGCCATGGCCAGCAGACGTCGTGACTGCCGCTGCGAACTTACGAGATAGATTTACGACATGAGGATAATGACCTCCGGTAGCGTAGCACTCGGGCTTTGGCAGCATTCCTTCGATGTCTCAGCCTCGTCCAATCTTACCAGAATTCGATATCATTTTTGCTGGAGGTGAGTACTAGAATAAGATCATCTACAAGCCTACTTTTAACGTGGCGCGTTGTGTGCAGGTGGTGCTACAGCTTGTGTTGCTGCAGGCCGACTAGCTGCGTATGATTCCTCTCTCAAGATTTTGATTTTGGAAGCGGGTGGACACACCCTCGATCAAGCTGCTCATGTCCAACCCTACCAATATGTCTTCCATCTGGCGCCGACAAGTACCACGGTGACAGTCAATGTTGGAAATCCTAGTCCGCATCTCAATGGCCGTGCACCAATCGTTCACTGCGGTCGTTGTGTTGGTGGAGGTTCAAGTGTCAATTGTTCGTAGCACGTAGCATTCTTGCAGCGAGGAACGCGGATCTGATGTAATACAGTCATGGCATACACTCGTGCGGCTGCTTCAGATTTCGATGACTGGGAGGCTGATGGTTGGGAATCTGAGAATCTAATTCCTCTCATGAAAAAGGTCGTCAAATTTACTTTTCATTATACTTTTTAAGCTGAATCATTGCATCTTGTGCAGCTGGAAACATATGAGGTGCAGCCTAATGGTCCAACCCACGGGGACAATGGACCTATCAGGGTATCCTATGGCGGTCGCGAATCAGGTCTCTGGGAAGAGTTCATCCATGTTGGTACAACCTACCACAAGCGGCCATATTGCCGACGACACGGATGATCTAGAAACATGCAACGTATACAGTGTACGTTACTGATCTTCCATCTCTGTTTGCCACCACTAACAAACTAGCATCTTAGCCATGGGCAAAGTGAGCCCATACTCGTAGCTTATTGTCAATGAAGCTCATATACGAGAAGGTATATTAATGGAACGACTGGAAGGCGTTCTGATGCGGCTCACCACTATGTCTACAACCAAGCCCACAACCAGAATTTACAACTTTGGGTCAGCAAACTCGTGAAGCGCATTATCTTTGAGTGAGTATCCACCTAGAATCGCAACTACATTCAATTGTTGACGAGCTTTTGTAAAACAAAGGGGCATGCGTGCAGTAGGTGTTGAGTTCACCTGCGATCCAGTATCCTGCCCAGGTGCAGATCAATCATCGAGCATCGTGAGAGCAGCAAAGCTTGTTGTTGTCTCTGCTGGAGCATTTGGTTCACCAACCATTCTCGAGAGGTCCGGGATCGGTGCCGAGGCGGTCCTCAAGCGTTGTGGTATCGAGCAACTGGTGAACTTGCCTGGCGTTGGAGAAAATTATCAAGGTCCGCCTTTGCCCATTAAGTTGATCTTAGCTTAAGGCCATTAGATCATCTTGGCTGCTTCGCCCCATACTTTGCTGCTGACGAGGCTGTTACCTTGGACCCCCTCTGGCATGGGGAGGGTGTTGTGCAGGGTAAGTGTGATGTTCACATATTCTCAACGCACCTCTCAACCGTCCAAATATAGAAAGCCTTGCGCAATGGAAAAGTAATGGGAAGTCGCTCATAGCGCAAAAGTCTGTACGAGTTATTGCTACTGATGACGTACTGATGAGTATTGCAGTGGCTGCGATGCCAAGATTAAGTGGCGACCTGATGAAGATGAGCTGAGAGCCATGGGTTCAGCTTTCCAAGCGCCATGGAAAGAATTCTTCCAAGATCGCCCAGACAAGGCTGTTGCCTTATTCGGTCTAAGTGCGGGGTTTGTGCATATCACTCTGTTTTGATGACATGGGTATGCTCACGTTAACCAGATATCTTCCACTCTCGAGCACCCTTCCTTTCCGTAAATATCTGGGTGTCGTTTATTTTACAGTACTGCTCCCCCGTCTACACTGTGATTCTGTTCTGAAAGTTTCAATAGCTTTACCCCAGGTCTCTTGGGAGCGTTCATGTCAAACTGGGAGAGAACGGCAAGCAAGTCCTCGACTTCACTGCGGGCTTCCTAGACGAGTAAGTCGGTACATCTCCTCTCAGAAATCGCATGACTATAATATTTCGTTCAGTCCATCTGATATCGTACCTCTTAACTTTGGATACAAGAAGACGCGAGAAATATCTCGACGCATGCCTTCCTACCGAGGTGAAGTCCCTTCAGGCCACCCTTGTTTCCCAGAGGGAAGCGCCGCAGCATGCAGCGAAACGTCCGGGCCTGTGAACTTGAATGCGCCTGACATCATCTACACTACCGAAGATGACGAGGCAATCGAAAAATTTCATCGTGACTGCAGTACGTCCTTACCGTGGTCCTCAATTTTACCGTAAAGATACTGAATTGGATTTCAGCCCAAACGTCGTGGCACTCGGTGTGTGCAATTAAAGGTTTTGATGACTCTGCTTGACTGATCCCTGCGGGTGTAGCTGGGGACTTGCGCCATGAAACCGATGTTAGAGAAAGGTGTCGTCGACGCTCGGTTAAACGTGTATGGCGTGGCGGGCCTGAAGGTTGCAGATATGTCTATCGCGCCAAAAAATGTTGGCACGGTGGGTATTGGATTGCTAACTTTGACGCGTGGCCTAACTGTCTCCCCAGAATACGTACTCAACGGCACTCCTCATTGGAGAGAAGGCTGCGCTGATCATTGCTGAAGACTTGGGTATGAATTGTAGAGAATACACTAAGGGGTAATGGGAAAGTGCACGGCCCATCGCGTCCTTGATGCTTATGTTTGCAGGAGTGATCATGAACATGTACTTCAGTAGCACGCCCAGAATGCGATCAGTGTGTGTCTCAGGATGGCTGTCATGGATTCAGATGAGTTGATGAACCTATTTGTGATACTACGGCAGAATTTTAGCAGGGTAAAAGAGGACGGGATATGGAATCCTTACTTGGACAATGTAAACCAGCAATTCTTGAGGTTGCCGTCGACGAGAAATAAAAGTTGCTTGCTGCAGCCCGCTATGCTCAAGCTCAGCTGGAGTGTGATGTCTGACTGAAGAAGTGACGCCTGTCGCACCCAAGCTATCGGAGGCCGTTCATAAGAAGACATCCCAAAGCACCGCCTCCAGCCGAGATCTACAAATGAAAGGAGTAGAAAAATATATTGCGAACATAGGTAGGATGGGGTGAAGGACTCTAAATATCAACGACTAGTGGTGTAGCAGCCGAGGAAAGAGGATTGTCTGTCCATAATGGGATAGGTACTGGATATACAATTACAATATTCAAACTTTGGAAATTGGAAATTGGGGAACAGTCATGTAGCGAAAGGGGGATGATGTTTTGGTCATGATAAAATAAAATGTGGTAGTAATCAATCCAGGTCAAAATCTCGGATTTTGAGAAGATCTTCAAGAGATGATTTCTTCCTCTCGGGATCAGCCTCAAAGCTGTGAGCTTTTGTTCGAACGAATGGCCTTCGAAGGACAGGAGGCGCCCAGAAGTTGTCGCTCGGCAGGTATTGACGAGACACTTTTGGACGGGTGTTCGCAGCTTCTGACTTGACGTATTTTTTAAGCTGGTGGATTCTCTGCTGTCTTTTCGCCAAAGCATCCGGTGCTAAGAATCATGTGTTAATCTATGTCTCGTGAATACGTATCGCAGTAGGTTCACATACCTAACATAACATCGGACGCTACGAATGATCCCCGTGTCGGAGATCCAGCGGCAGCATTCACTGCAGTCTGGATGGTCCTTTCACGAGCGGCCAGTGGGTTCTTCGGCACTAGTAACTCCTCGATGCCCAGTTGGGCACGAGTGTCGACTCCCCCACACCGTATGACAAAGTTGCTCTCCAAAACGAACAAGAGCGAAGTGATTCGATCTGTACAAACGGTGAACAAGAGAATCCAACAAAATAACGACTGGTATTTACCCCCCATATCGGCAGGAAACGCAGGCCTGCGGCGCCTGATCCAAAGAAGCAATTTGAAGTATGCCGACTTGTAGGGCAAGAGTTCTTCTGAACACAGAACAAAAATGTACAAGGCCACGCCCTCGCGTCTGAGAGTTATCCGCGCGTTCTTGAACCGAGAGCATTATCGAACGAGTTTGCGAGCCTTGAATTTATGTTTACCTCTGTCAGAGCAATGATCTGCACGAAAAGATAATCGTCAGTTGACTATAAAAGATGATTCGATTGTAAAAGCACGACCTTTCGACTGTAGTGCTGTAATTCGTGGTCTTCCAACCGACCGAATTTCATAACGTCATTGATAGCGTCCAGGAAATGGGGTAGAGAGCCCAGACGATGAGCCAAATCATTAACGACTGCTGGACAATCGAGTGCAGGGAAATCGTTATTCATGGCGTGATTGGTGAGTAGTTGGAAAGATGGAAAGATGGAAAGAGGTAGGAAGAAGGTCATTTAAAGGAGCGACAGTTTCCACAAGATGTGGATGTGGACGTTGTGGACGGCATGACTAATGAGATGCGGATTGTGAGCCCTAGCGTGGTAAGGACCCTGTGTAAAGGAAGGGCTCCAAGAGTTTACCGCACTCGAATGCGTAAGCTGGTCATGCAACCATGGCATGAATGAAGGGCAAAAGGTCTTAATTGATTATGGAGAAACGCAAGGGCAATCCGACACGACAATCGTTAAATTTGCATGGGTTCATTTGATTTCTTAATACATATGCATCGAATATATCAGGTATGAGAGTTTCAAACTGTGTCAAACAATCACCTCACGAGTTCATAGCCCCTCTATAAGTCTCCGGATAATGGGGGCAGTCTGCTTCCTCGTCGCGCTCGCGTTGCCCTGCTTGTAAGCCCTCGCAACAAATGAATCACCAAATCGCGTTTCATCGGCCATTACGTCTTCGGTATCGTCGACCTCAGGTTCATCAGCCGCGTTGGCGTTGCCCACGAACTTTGAGAAATCAAGCCTTTTTAGCTGAAGCTCTTCGCTTGATTCGAGGCCTTGCCAAAGTGTCTCTGTGATGCCTTCGTCTGCCTTGACTATCCAAAGTTGCTCCCGCCTTCCCTTGCCTTCATTGCTCCGAAAAGTAGTGAGTATGCCGAGAACGCTAAGATCTCTTTCGGTGAGCCAATCTTGAATTTCTTTCATAGGATAACTCGATGATGCAAAGAATGCGGAGAGGCGAAGTGGGACGGTGGCAAGACCCACTTTTATCACATGCACGTTGAATGCGTACTCTTTGTAGTCTCTCCGCAGCAAGTCCCGCGTGCTGAAATGGGATACAGAGAGCTTCTTCTCTCTCAACGTCGCAGACAGAGACTGAACGGAAGGGAGATGGGTAATTAGTTGGTTATCCAATGATGCAGAGACTTCATTGTGGGCCAAAAGGGATCGGGGGATTAAAAACGCAGCCGCCTCCCTGTCGACATTCAGAGCTTTCCCTCTCTCTTTAAGGCCATGGGTGTCGATCAAAATGGCACTAAGCAAGAGTGTCGACAATTCTGGGGGTATAGAAAGATTGGGGAACGATTGATACAATCTTGCAACAAGAGACGAGCAACTTCCAGCCGGTTCGACTATCCTGGGATCAGTTGTACTAGCATCCTTGTATTGTTCTTCATCTTCGTGATGATCTATCACTGCAACAACCCTGGCTGTTTCAGATGCATATCTGGTCTGAAGGACGTTGTGATCCACAAGTGCAAATTGCGACACGTGTGATGGAATAGGATCACCAGAGCAATAAAGCTCTTCGAAAGGTTGGTTGATTCCAGCGAGACCAAGGGCGTGCAAATTTTCTGCTCTAAGGACAAAATCCTCTCTAGGTGTAGTTATGTATGCGATCGCTTTCCCGCTCGTGTTGGAGCGCAACCAAGCATATCCGAGTGCACTAGCGAGAGAATCGAGATCTGTGGTGTAAGACAACAGTAAGGACTAAGAACGAGCAAAACACAGTTCAGCATACCACCCGCTTCATTGCCCATTACCACTGTCCATCCTTCCCCATTATCAGCTAGAAAATCTGCTTTTTGGGACTTGAGGTATGACGAAAAGTTGAACGTAGTAGACATTGAACTTTGCCGCAGAGATTTAGCAGGGAACCTGAAGTTTAGACTTGCAAATGAAAGGGATGTGATTTTTGCAAGTCGGGGAAATAGTTGGCAAGAAAGCACGAAAGCCCATAGGACCGCCAGGTAGGAATATTTGGTAAAGATCATACAAGTCGGAGCGTCAAATATGATGATGCGGCGGAAGCTAAATTTAATGGCTTGCTTTACTTACTACGTCGATGCCAACAGCAACAACTGATTAAAACCCCAGTCCAAAAGGTACCAGTGCTTTATGGCGCCTGAAACGTATTCAGCCTCACTGTTACTTGGGGCCGCTGATACCATCTCTCCTGCTCGCTAATAAAATTTTCGGTGTCGGTTCTGCTGTGTTGCCTACACAGTAGAACTGACACCGAAAAGTTGATTAAGAAATGCCTACTGACCAATGGGTGCCAATAACAGTCGCACCTGCAGGAATATTTGAGGGAGCTCTTCCAGATTATATCCGTACTAGTCGCACGATGCTCAAGGCCTCTGGTGGAATGTTGTCATTCATTATCGCGTCATCCTCCAATAACGACAGGTTTCCACCTCATACTCTCCAGCATGAACACAGTAACCTGCGGCAGCACTTCCTGATCATCAACTGTCTGCACTAATCAGGAGGAGCCATCTCAGCCAGTAAATGAACAAAGAAAGGCATAACCTACGCCGTTTACGCCCCACAACGTGACAACTTAATAAGTTCCTAGCTTGGAGAGGGTCCACTGAGAAAGAGGGGATTTTTGTGCATCAACGGATTCGTTCCGTGACTCAAAGGGCCGCCGGGGACCGTGAACAGAAGTGTCTCCGCCTTCATGTCTTCCCTGTCGAGCGGGAAGAATTCTTCAATTGTGGGCAAGGGATTCATTCTGGGGTAGTTGTGCAATAAGTAGGAAAAGAAATCCTTGTTCGACTCGGAGTCGTAGCATAAGTAGTTGTACAATAAGTAAGAAAAGAAATCGACGTTCGAGTCGTGGCATAAGTAGTCGTGCAATAAGTAGGAAAAGAAATCGTTGTTCGAGTCGTGGCATAAGTAGTCGTGTAATAAAAGTCAATAAGTAATTGCAGCGCAGTACATAGTGTTGCATATTCATATTCATATCGTACATCGGGGGTTTCAACATTCTATCTTCAATCAAACGCAGGTCTGGACCTGGCTAGAGCATTCCATAGCACTCTACAATGTGATTTAACTGGCGGAAAAACGCGTCAGTTTCCCCGCTGTGCCAAGCTCAAATAACTCACCAATCCTCATCGTCTGACCTCTCATCAAAGTCCGGCATAAAGTCTTCCGTCTCGTTCCACGCTTGACGAAGTTGGAACACCGCCTCCATTACAGATCCCCTCTTGCTGTTGTCCAAGCCTGCGAACGAAGCCGAGCGACGAACGATACGTGATTGCCGAGTAGCAGTCGTCTGTCTAACTTGATGGTGAATCAAGGTAGGGGGCTTTGACCTATCCTCCGTGTGGTTCAGACGTCTCTGCAAAGCGGCCTCTTCCTCCTCTTCCTCTTCCATTTCTTGTAAGATCGCTCCAGTTACCGATGGCTCTCTTCGAATCTTCGCATCAGGCTTGGAAGCCTGTTTGTTGCGGAAAAGAGCAACGATTGAATTACGAATACTCTTGTTAAGCCCTGCTTTAGACTGCAAGGAGCGCTTGAGGGTCCGCTGAGGAAGAGGGGATTGTTGTGCATCAACGGATTCGTTCCGCGACTCTTCAATTGTGGGCAAGGGCTTCATTCTGTCGGCATGCTGTGACACGGAGACATGCCTCGAGGTTGAAGCACTGCGAAGCTGGTGCGCCGACTTATGCCTTGATAGCCCATGATGTGGGACATCCGAGTTGGCATATGCACTCTGCATGACGTTGCGATAATGGCAGTCACCTTGATCGTGACAGGTCAGGCTAGAATGTCGATAAATGAGGGGGAAAAAAAAGCTTGACCGCCTAGGGCGCGCAAGGAATCCGCGCGAGCACATTCAGGAGAGCAAAAGCAAAAATCATGATCTTCAATAGTCGGTTTGCCGCAAAAGCATTCTTTGACACCGATGTGAAGTGATGCAAAAACGTTGGTGAAGATGAGGGGGTTCATTCTGAATGATCAGTGTAGTGACTTAAGTCTTACGACCGTCGCCGCGTACAGAGGTTTTATATGCCACATACTTTACTGTGGCAGAACACAGTGGATTGTGGAATGATACAGAGTCGCGGACATTCGGAAGTGCCCGATAGCTGACATTTTATGAAGTAGGTGAAAAGCGGAGCTGCAATGAATACAATACTCACCCAATACTGGAGATGTGTTCGATGCACCAATTTTTGGCCCCCGTTAACCGGGAGTTGCCTGTTAATGAATGACGTTGTGAATAATCATTCTGAAGTGCCCACTGGTCGACATTGTGTAAAGCTAGTCGAAAGCTGAACTGTAATGAACATGACGCCCAACATACGTCCGCACGCTTTAAGAGAGGTGTTCAAGATCAGATCGGTATATATAGTAAGTAGATCCCCTGGCCATTGGATATCGGTTGAAAAAACTAGAAGCTGTTATTAGGGAAGAGACAGAGCTGCTGAAGGTGGGCAAAAACGGTATTGAACACGCTGATTTCGCAGTACATCAGCCCTTCCAATCGACATCAATGCGTATTGAGTCAAGTCTTTCAATTATATCTGACAAAAGCTCACATTAGATTTCGTTTCGAGTCTTGCCAGTCCAAAATCTGCGGCTACTTTTTATCGTGAACAACGGCCCAGACAGTACGTATAAGCTTCCAACCTTTGAACTCTCCATTTCAACCATACAGCCGTCCACGTAATTGGGCACCCCGGACAGAAAAAGTCGCCGTACGGCAGCTTGGGAGTAAATCTGAGCAAACACCATCCGATGATCCAGGGCTCTAAGGCCATTATAGAACATCTGATCATCAACAATGTTAGATGCATACGACGGCGATCAGGTTTTGTCCCGAACATCGAGGTTGATTGAGTCAACGTTTCTGGAGACCGGTCACATCTGATCGTTTGTGGTGAGGGAATCGCCAGTAGTATTGGAATGATTATGGCCAGGTCTTGATCATTCTTGATCTTTGTCCCATCAACGATGAATTTTTCGTCAGCTAATGTGACTTATTTGAAAGAGCGGATAACTTGAACCACTGGATGTGCAGCAATCAGCAAAGGGTCTGCAACTAGTACAGTGCAAGCTCAGAATGTAAAACCGGAGTTCAGTTCAGAAAGAGATAAAAAATCCTGCTTTAGTCTCCATTTTGCGGTCTGATCTCTTTACAAGGTGAGATGGGCAACTACTAGTAGTCGCAACCGGATATGAGTGGGAAGTTATGACAGGTGGAGGAACGTGCGCGTGACTCGGAGCGAGCACTCAGCAGAAGCGCTTGATGCCAAGAGTAGCGAAGACGAGTAGTCAAGTCAAGACTCAAGATATCTGAGCTATATATTCAGTGTGTAGGACACTGTAGAGTGAATGTTGATTCGCCATTGAGCGAGGCGGCCAAGGCCTTACTAATATTTGAAGATCATACGAGTCGAACTTGCGTCAAATCACGTGCATGATTCAGATGCGGCGGAAGCTTTTAACAGTTTAACACTTATTTTGCGAACTAGTCTCTACTAAGTATCCGCGTCGATGTCCTCACAGTACGACGTACTTATCGTCGGCGCTGGCATCGCTGGTTCTGCTCTTGCATATGCACTGTCGCAGTCTTCAGCTCCGCGACGTCGCATTGCACTCCTCGAGCGTAGCCTTGCTGAACCTGACCGCATAGTCGGCGAGCTGCTCCAACCTGCCGGTGTCGCCTTCCTCGACAAGCTTGGTCTACATGGTGCATTAGAAGGTATAGATGCGATACCAGTACACGGATACGCGGTCGTTCAAGATGGTCGTATTGTCCATATTCCATACCCTGATGGACGGCAAGGACGGAGTTTCCACCACGGACTATTCGTGCAGGGACTGAGGCAACACGCAATGCGCGCAAAAGGCGTGGATGTCATTGAAGCAACTGTGAACGAACTGGTGGAAAAGGAAGGAAGGGTCGTTGGTGTAAAGGCTACGCGTTCTAACGGCAAGGAGAAAGAGGCTTTCCGCGCAGACTTAACAATTATTGCAGATGGGTGCTTCTCTAACTTTCGTAGTATCGTCCAAGGACCATCTGCACGCCCTTCCAGTACTAAGTCGTATTTCTGTGGTACGATACTCAAGGATGCGCGGTTGCCGATGTCGCAGCACGGAACTGTTGCACTCATACGTGGCCACGGACCCGCGTTGCTATACCAAATATCGGAACACGATACCCGCATACTCATAGATGTAAAAAGTCCAGTGCCATCTGACTTGAAGGTTTGTTTTTTGCCGTTCATAGTTTGCATGCGCTCAGGTCCCCCCACAGAAACATATCATCACTGAGGTCTTGCCTTCCCTCCCTAATCAACTACATGAGCCCATCCGTGCTGCTCTTTCTGCTGATCGTGTTCGTCGCATGCCTAATTCATTCCTACCGCCTGCCCCTCAGACGCACAAACATGGTGTCGTCCTTCTCGGGGACGCCTGGAACATGCGCCATCCGCTAACAGGTGGTGGTATGACCGTTGCACTGTCCGACGTATACATACTTTCCCGGCACCTTGATAAAGTAAACGACCTACTGGACTGGAGCCAGATGAAGAAAGTTCTTGACAAATGGTGGTGGGAACGCAAAGGACTGGCCGCGACTATCAATATTATGAGCGTCGCCCTTTATGACGTATTTGGGGCTGATGGCGAGTGTTTGGCTGTTTTCCAAGACGGATGTTTTAAGTATTTCGAAAGGGGAGGAGAATCCGTCCGTGGTCCAGTATCATTGTTGAGTGGGTGAGTAATTTCCCAGTCACGATTGCCATGTTTTCTATGTTGACCACCGACCCAGAATTGCACCTTCAACCTCGCTCCTTGCATACCACTTCTTCTATGTGGCATTGTATTCTATATGGGCGCTTTTTGCATATCCTCGACGTATCTATGTGCCCCGCGCGAATAACGAGCTGCATGTGAATGGCACTACCAATGAGACTGGGAATGGTGGAGGAGTGCACACTGACGAAAAAAATCCGGACATGCACATCATGCAAATCCCTTCAATACTAGATTACCCTCGACTATTTTGGTTGAGCTGTAGAGTCGTACGTGTCACTACTTGATTGTCAGTGATCTTGGCTGATATTGTGTAGTTATGGACTGCAATTGCAATATTTGGACCCCTACTATGGACAGAGATTCGTTGGTGGTGAATTCGTTGGCTAGAGTTGAACGGTTCAGGACAGCTTCTATATTTTGGAGTTATTGTACGTGCTTGTGGCACATAATCATATGGAGGTACAATTGTAAATACTATTATGGTTCGTTCTGATCTCCTACAAGTCTGTCGTTTAGCTTACAAACAGTTATAAACGTGTGTGCAATCGCTGCCCGCAGGATTCATAATTTATGACCTGTCATGTGCCATATTCCATTTCGGTCGCTCCTCGATTCGTTCTAGGGCTATCAACGCAGATGTCGACTGCTGTTCCGTACCCGCCCCCCGTAATACCAAAATACCTAGCGCCTGCAGGTACCACTACCAATGAGGGTGACAATGAAAGGACAAAGGAGGAAGACGTACGCATGACAACCTAAGACGATTGCCGCGACTGCCAAAATAGTATCGCGCTTCCCGAACCCAAGCGCGTCATACGCTGTTGGAACACACGAGTGAAATCCAAAGCCTGCCAGTGACCTCAAAAAGGCGACAGCGGCAATCGCTGAATGTGAAAGATTTGAAATGAGTAATACGGGAACCAAATTATGCGTACCGGGAGCGGTATGAAGCTGAAAGCATTTAAGGATGTAGGTCTGGGTACACTGGAAACGGCTGCTCCTACAAGTGCCATACCCTCTTACGACCGTCAGTAGAGAAACAATGCTAGGAAAATAAAACAAACAATATCTGGACCAACGCTTATGAGCTTTAGAGGTCCAGCCTACGATCAAGCACCCTATTGGTAGCAGAGATTCAGGAACCATAGCAGCTGGTGGTCAATCGAGTGAGCACTCGAGAAAGATGGATATTATGAGGGCAAGTACAACATCGTTGTTAATTCCGAAGGCAGAAGACACTTGGTCGATAGCGGGCGCGACCATACAGGAAGACATTGAACTGATAAAACTAGATGCTGATATGATCAGCGTCGCAGCCTATTTGCGTCTATAACTCCAACTCTGAAAGGACTAAGCCCGATAATCATTCTGGTCTGTACACGCAACACACTTTTTAGTATTTTAAGGGTCATCTGGACCGTCCCGGTCAACGATCAAGATGTCTGTACCATTAGTTGCCGCAAGCAGCTCGATGTCTGAGAGTGACCATGTTCTGGGACTGAGTTTAGCGCATGGTCACCTTGTAACGTCAGTGTGGAGACACAGAGCGTAGTATGCCATGTTTCCCGTCACAATCTGATGGACTGAGCTTGGTGCATGATGGCCTTGTAGTGTTAGTGTAGAAGACACCGAGTGCAGTGTGTACTGCCGCTGGCCGGGCACGGAGTCCATGGACGCAGGTGTGGCAGACATGTACGAATGACATTTGTAACACGTGCTTGCGGACATGTAGAACGCTAATGTCTGGACTCTGAAAACAGATACGTTTTGATGACAGTTAAGAAGGAGGTCAAGCTGAATATTCAACATCTGCCGTGAGTAGTGTGGTGAATCTGCCAGTCGTGTGAAGTGTACTGACCGTGACTGCTTGAACCGTGACTGATTGATGTCACATTTCAAGTTCAAGATGCGCGTAACGGTACTTTCCACCGTTGCTTGGAGGAACCTAATTGATTGAAAAGTAGCGACTCACCTACTACTAGGAATTGATGCTATGAGGCCAGCACTATTAGATCGTTGGGCAAGAACGGAGGTCATGCAATTTCTTTCACGCGAGTGTACAGGGACCATGATGATGATGATACCGATAGCTATACCATCAAATGATTCCCTTCTATGGACCGCAGTGCTAATTGTTATTAGCGCTTCAAGAAGTGACTTCTCTCTTTTCTCCCACCTGCTACTTGCACCCCCATTGCGTTCACAGTAATTGACCACTCCCACTCACGATGAGTGAAGACCATAGACTTGATCCTCCTCCAGAAGTCTGCGAAGCAACCGTTCGTGAAAGCTCGGTATGTAGTCCGACTCAAGGGCTTACTCACTGTGGATGAGCGCTCGTAAAATTTATCGCTGTATCTGACGCTTTCTTCGTCCAGAGCCAACCCCGTGGTCGAGTCCAGCAGGCTATTCAGGAATTTTCAGAAGACATCACCAAGAAATTCACTAAGAAATTCACTGTAAGTAGACAGATGGGTTTGCCGATTCGAATATGTCTGACATTGTGCAGAAACGTTTCAAGCGTTCCCGCAACCGCATTCCCGCGGTCCAGAACGACAACCGAGGGTCGTCCGGAGTACCTGCTTCGAAGGTACTTGCATCATGTTATCTGGTTTTTGTCTCTAACTTTTGTTGGTCATGTCAAGGTTCTCGCCTCCCCTCCTGGTGCAGGGGAAACCCCTTGTCCCAAATCAACTGATGATGAACTTCAGGGTGCCCACGAGGCTTTAGAACACATGAGAACACTCGGTGGACCTGCGCAGTCTGTGACATCTGCCGCCGACAATGCTCCAGCAGGTCTCACTACTGCAGATGATTTCAACACCACGTACCTTCAGCCCCTGAAAATTTTCGATACTGTCATTGAGAAGATTGCAAATGTATGGGTTGCTCTCCTTGGTTGGTAGCGAACTAACCACGTTATAGGTGCATCCGTACGCAAAGATGTCGTTGGGCATACTTTCTGCCGCAGCCAAAGTACGTTCTATGTTGCTCGGTGGTCTACCTCCCGCTCAGAAGTTATGGTTCCTTGCAGATTATTCTTGCCCAAGCGCAGCGCGACGAATCAGTACATCGCCTTTTCCAGAAATTAGATCAAGTTTATGGCTTCATTATACAAGACGATAATCTTTTTAAGGTTGAATCGATGCGCGATGTCGTCAGAAAGATTGCTCAGCAGACTCTCGAGTGCGCCCGTTTCATCAGAGAATACTCAGAGACGAAGAGCTTCTGTGAGTCGTCAGGCTATTGCATTCGCATATTAATCTTATCCTTACTGTGATCATAGGGAAGAGAGTCGGTAAAAACATCATCGCGGAAACGGATGATATCATCACACGGTACAACGATGCCTTGGATGGCCTTATGCAACAATTTCGGGATCAAGCTGATCGGGACGTAGCAATCTTTGTTCAATTTGCTGGTAAGGATTCATAAGTGCCTCTTATTTTGTGTACTCATACCCTTTAAGACGAGGCACTCGATCTCCGCGGCATGATTTATGCAGGGGGTGCGGGACTAGATACTGAGAAGCAATGTCTACCAGGCACTCGTATGGACATTCTCTCCCAAATTACCAAGTGGATCAACAGCAGTGGAGATTCTGTTCCGCGTGTAATGTGGCTCTCCGGCCCTGCAGGCAAGGGTAAATCAGCCATCGCGCACACGATTGCCAACTGGTTCAACGAAACGGGAGGCCTTGGTTCATGTTTTTGTTTCGATCGGCGTAGAGAAGCAGACCATCGCCACGAAAAGATTTTCTCCACCATCGCGCGTGACCTTGCTGATCGTGATCCAGGGATGAAACGAGCGTTGGCAGATGCAGTCAAGAATGCAAACTCGCTCAAGAATACGACGGACATTATCCAACAGTGGCGCAAACTTCTCATGGAACCGCTAAAGAAGCTATCTGCGTCAAGTGTAGGGCCTGTCTTGATTGTCATTGAAGCACTGGATGAGAGTGGTGGAGTGGAGACGCGGCGTAACCTCCTCCGCATCCTTGCAGGTAGACTTCAGGACAAAGGACTCCCCCAAATTACCGAACTCCCTTCCAACTTTCGGATTCTCGTCACTTCTCGTCCGCTTCACGATATAGAACAGGAGTTTGAAGGTGCTCATCATATTTTACGGTTGTCCATGGACGATATCCCATCGGAAGTCGTGGAGCGCGACATCCACACGTTTGTATCTGAGGAGCTGAAGGGGTTATCAGATTTTCACGACAGAGAGTTAAAAACCCTCGCTACGAAGGCTGAAGGACTTTTCGAGTGGGCGCGTCTCGCATGCGAATACATCAAAAACGCTCCTCCGGGTGTACGCCAAATGCCTCGCTTCAATGCTCTTGTGAATTGCAGTGCTGGAAAACAGAAAAACCTGTTGCGCGATATGTATTTGGTCATTTTGAAAGAAATCATGAAAAGGGATCAATATGATGACGACGAGTATGAGGAAGCATTAGCAGGGTTTCGTTCCGTGATGGGACAGATACTTGGCACAGCTGAACCGCTCCCATTCAATTCCCTCAATATCATGCGGAACTACTTTCCAGACCGAAGCAAGCATGACAACATCGACATCATTAAACGTATGGGGTCCCTCCTCAGCGGCACCACCGACTTATGCACTCCCGTCCGACCTATTCATGCATCTTTCCACGACTTCTTAACAGACAAGTCATCTAGCGGAGACTTTTTCGTCGAGGTGTCCGACGTCCAACGTGACCTTGCATTGGCATCACTACGAGTGATGGAACATGGCCTTTGCTTCAATATCTGTGATTTGAAGTCGTCGTACCTCCCTAATTCCCAAGACATGGCGCTGCCTCAACGAGTCAAAACATCCATCCCCCCACATCTCTCCTATTCCTGTCGATTTTGGGCTACACATGTTCGAACAACGGGCTTCGACGATGGGCTCGCAAAGGAGATCAAGTCATTCTTCGATGACGAACGACTGATGTTCTGGATTGAAGCACTCGGACTTCTCAATGCATTCAGTGGTGCAGTTGCTGTGCTTCCACTCGTTGCCAAGTGGCTGAAGGTGAGCGCATGTTTGCAAGACAGTGTAGGACGAACAGCTTATCAATAAATACAGGGCCACTCTGGATATGAAGATTTGCGGTCCGCCACGATGGATGTACAAAGATTCATTCAAGTGTTTGGTGGCATGATTTTGCACAGCACGCCGCATCTGTATCTATCAGCGCTCCCATTCTCGCCCGTCAACTCCACCATGGCTACCAAATTCACGGCAAGGTTTCCGAATAACCTTCGTCTCGCATCTGGTTATGATTTGAACTGGACAGTTGTTCAGAGCATAATTAATGGGCACATTGGCATGGTCAACTCAATCTCGTTCTCACCAGATGGTGCTCGCATCGCGTTTGGTTCTTCGGATAACACCGTGCGGCTGTGGGATGCAGTGACGGGACAGCCATTGGGTGAGCCCTTGAAGGGGCACACTGAAGGAGTTTCATCAGTCTCATTCTCACCGGATGGTACTCGCATCGCGTCTGGTTCTTCAGATAACACTGTGCGACTGTGGGATGTAGCGACGGGACAGGCGTTGGGTGGGCCCTTGGAGGGGCACACTAAAGGAGTTTCATCAGTCTCGTTCTCACCAGATGGTACTCGCATTGCGTCCAGTTCTTGGGATACAAATGTGCGACTGTGGGATGTAGCGACGGGACAGCCATTGGGTGAGCCCTTGCAGGGGCACACTAAAGGAGTTTGGTCAGTATCGTTTTCACCGGATGGTACTCGCATCGTATCTGGTTCTTGGGATAACACTCTCCGGCTGTGGGATGTAGCGGTGGGACAGCCATTGGGTGAGCCCTTGCAGGGGCACACTGAAGCAGTTTGGTCAGTCTCGTTCTCGCCGGATGGTACTCGCATCGCGTCTGGTTCGGAGGATCACACTGTACGGCTGTGGGATTCAGTGACAGGACAGCCATTGGGTGAGCCCTTGCAGGGGCATACTAAAGCAGTTTCGTCAGTCTCATTCTCGCCGGATGGTACTCGCATCGCATCTGGTTCGGAGGATCACACCGTGCGGCTGTGGGATGTAGCGACGGGACAGGCGTTGGGTGGGCCCTTGGAGGGGCACACTAAAGGAGTTTTGTCAGTCTCGTTCTCACCAGATGATACTCGCATCGCGTCCAGTTCTTGGGATAACACTGTGCGACTGTGGGATGTAGCGACGGGACAGCCATTGGGTGAGCCCTTGAAGGGGCACGCTGGAGGAGTTTGGTCAGTCTCATTTTCACCGGATGGTACTCGCATCGCATCCAGTTCTTGGGATAACACCGTGCGGCTATGGGATGCGGCAACGGGACAGCCATTAGGTGAGCCCTTACAGGGGCATACTGGAGGAGTTTGGTCAGTCTCGTTCTCGCCGGATGGTACTCGCATCGCGTCTGGTTCGGAGGATCACACTGTACGCCTGTGGGATGTAGCAACGGGACAGCCGTTTGGTGAGCCCTTGCAGGGGCACACTAGAGGAGTTTCTTCTGTATCTTTCTCACCGGATGGTACTCGCATTGCATCTGGTTCGGAGGATCACACTTTACGACTGTGGGATGTAGCGACAGGACAGCCATTGGGTGAGCCCTTGCAGGGGCATATTGGAGGAGTTTCGTCAGTTTCATTCTCACCGGATGGTACTCGCATCGCGTCCAGTTCTTGGGATTACACTGTACGGCTGTGGGATGTACCGACAGGAAAGCCACTGGGTGAGCCCTTGAAGGGGCACACTGAAGGAGTTTCGTCAGTCTCATTCTCTCCGGATGGTACTCGCATCGTGTCTGGTTCGGAGGATCACACTGTACGCCTATGGGATGTAGCAACGGGACAGCCATTGGGTGAGCCCTTGCGGGGGCACACTAAAGGACTTTGGTCAGTCTCGTTTTCACCGGATGGTACTCGCATCGCGTCTGGTTCGGCGGATAACACTGTGCGACTATGGGATGCAGCAATGGGACAGCCATTGGGTGAGCTCTTGCAGGGGCACACTAGAGGAGTTTTGTCGGTGTCTTTCTCACCGGATGGTACTCACATCGCATCTGGTTCAGAGGATATGACTGTGCGAATATGGAGTGTAGTGAAAGCTCAGCCATTCGCCAAGTCCAGAGAGCTAGACTCCTCCACATCTCCGCTGCATCAAAGCACTCCACCTCCCACCCAAGAAAGTTGCATCATGCCGACCAACACTTGTAACAATCACCTCATTTGCTTCTCGTCTAGCCTGGAACACGCCCTGTCCAACCCCGCGGACTTGCTCGAATCCACCTCTCATCATGATTCTAATTCATCCCCTTTCTTACTGCAGACTGATGGATGGATTATGGGACCCGATCATCAGCTCCTTTTCTGGGTACCTCCTGCTTCCCGACATGCATTTTATACTCCTGGGACCTCATTGGTGATACCCAGAGGATCTCCTGAGATTGATTTAAGCCGTATGGCACATGGAACGCGCTGGTCAAGTTGCCGAGATGTGTGAGTTCTTAGTCTTTACCATCCGTCTTCGCAATTGCTGATATCAATCTTGCTAGCCCCACGTAATGATGATTTAGTTCCTGCAATATCGAGTGTATCGTCTAGTTCTTTGATTCCTTGTTGATTTTATACCTGGGACCGACTCTGAATTTACTGTTATACGACTGAACGATGCGCCGAAAAGCAGACTGAGTGCAAATCAAATCTTGCTGCTGAACCGTGAGAGCACGAAACGAAACCTAATTCTTCAAAGACGTGGTTGTACCCTTGAAAATTATGCAGATATTGAGTCGTTGTTACAGGCGCTTTGGTGTTACCGTTGAGATATCATCCAATCATCAGACCTCTCCCCTCAATGTCTCCCAAATCAACCTTCTATATCATCGTTACATACTAACTTGTATGCATTCGCTCGCTGCTATGTCTAAGGACTGCTGCGAAAAACAGCATCTGAAGACATCTCTAGCTGTGTCGCCGTGCTCCTTGGTATTGTCGACGAGCATTACAGATGGCGGGGAGGAACGTGGTAATAGACCTCGGAACTCGAGAAAGGCGTACGGACAAAAAGACTGATGTACTAGGACTGACTTTGCTTACTTATTACCATCGTGATGAGTGCGACGTATCCAAAGGCGAGCTCAACGTCGAAGACTCGAATGCTTGGCAAGGTGAGTTTAAAGATCACCGTTATCTGCAACTTCCGGACATCATCGTATTTTTAGCAAATGTGTGATGTCGGCCGCGAGGGTCTTGATAAACGCGGGGAATGCAAGCACTGGTGAGGCCTTGAGGGAATGGGGTCATATAGGTCAATAAAGATGTTGCTTGTTCAACTTGAAGAACATACTTGACACGAAAAGTTCGTGGAGACAATCTAGGGCAGGTTTCTCTATTACGTACACTAGGATAGTATATCAATATTTGTCATCCAGGCTGGCCAGAGTCGTATCACTCACTGAGGCAGAGTCCTAATCAATATCAGCGTGCCTCTACTGTAGAAATCTGACGCCCATTGTAACCACGGTGTTCTGTGAGTCGTTCCTATTCTGTTGACTCATCGGCACTGCATGCCAGTGTGGTTCCTTCCTTTATAATACTTTAGAACTTTACAGGTACTGTAGTGTTTTCGTGACGTCCAGCACTCTCAAGTGTTAGTTGGATCCATCCCTCAACCCTCATTATGGCTCATGGTCGACGCGGTGTCACCTTGGAGTCTTCAAACTCTTCAGAACCAGACTTTTCTTCAGCGTCATTGCCGCGTAAAGCTTCTCCAACTCCTCCAGTAGAGAATTCTGCTCCCAGTGTTGAGTCCTTGAAAGACACAAAACGTGAGCGTAAGCTGTCAAATACTAATGATAGCGATAACGACAACGACAACGACAACGACAACGACAACGACAACGACAACGACAACGACAACGACAACGACAACAAATCGAAGAGTTCACAATCGTAAGTCACTGTGTTGTATAATACATGTATGGACTTAATCTCGCGTTTTCAGGAAAAGAAAGGATGTCAGAAAGTAAGTAAATATAGCACTTGTTGTTCAAATCCCTCACGATGTACGCCTTGTGACTCAGTGAGGAGCCAAGCCACCCAGAACACCTCCAGGATCTAGGAGAGATGTGCAACACTGAAGTCAAACAAGTCGCCATTATTGGTATGTGATATCAATTTTCATTCAACATGTATTGATCATTTCCAAGCTATTCGCGCGACTGATCTCACTCATGGTCTCCGACGGATCCCCGCTGGCTTCCATGTGGTAATAAAGACTGACGGTGTTGAATACCAAACGAGCAACAAACCAATACACGTAAATCAGGCTGCCGTTGAATGGAATGAGCCCATACTTTTGTAAGTTGTCCTTAATCTCATCTTTTCCTGCAGGTATTGAGAAAGGCCCTAGGCCGTGCGAGCCATCTTGTACAGTTTGGGTCAGCGTACATGCGTCAGTTGAGTTTGGTCCCATGCTCGGTCATGGAGAGGTCCTTCGCACATTCGAGATATCCATCAGGGAACTACTGGATCGCAGCGAAAAATCGCATCGTCGGTATTGTTCCATTGCGAATAATACCTGCCAGATATTGACGAGTATCACAGCCATAATCTTCCAGCCCAAGCAGGGGGAAGTCGTATCCCCGTGTACTTCACTGTTAATGACACTGGAGCAGCGATTTTCTGATGAAAACGATGCCGTAGTTCTTTGCCCCGTTAGTACCGTGAGTAATAATGCGATCTGGCACTCTGATGCTGAGAGCTTGTAATGCATAGGTTACATCCGATGACATTGATGTGTTAGTACTAGAGACGGACGCCGGACACAGTCTTCTCGCGCAATATCGCAGGACGCAGAACAGTAGTGATCTTGACCAATCCATAAAACACTTTGAACGTGCTTCGGATCTCTGCCCCTTGGACCATCCTTACCGCCCTGCGGCACTGTTCAATCTGGCCACCGCGAAGCTTGTTCATTGCCAAGCTAACGGAACATACCTCGACCTCGACATACCTATCAATCTATTACAAGATACTCTTTATTTACGTCCCACTGGTCATCCAGACCGTCACATCACCCAGCTCCATCTTGCAATTGCTCTGCTGTCTTGCTTTACAAAACGGAGATTTGAGACGGATGCTCATGCGGCTGCAGAGTTACTGAGCGAAATCCTATTTGTCTGCCATGCCGACAGCCACATTTACAGAGCAGCTTTCATTGCGTTCAAAACATTCACTCAGCATTCGGCTCGAAGCACTGCTGCAAACAATCCTGTGCAGGAACGGTCTGCTGCATCCATGCATCCATTATCGCCTAATCAACTTGCTGATCGAGCCAATCGATGTTTGCGCATAGATAATCCTCATGCCTTAGATGAAGTGATATCTCTTCACTACAATGCACTGGGATACTATAACACCATGCATAATTGCCGGGGACAATTGCTTTGCAATCTGGGTACAATGCTGCGTACTCGGTTCCAGCATCGAGGCGATGCAGAAGACTTGGATCAGGCTATCACCTTTCTGAGTGAAGCACTGGCTTTGAGCCCTGTCGGTCATGCACATCGGTCCTCATCGTTGAATAATCTTGCAGTTTCACTCTCCTCCCGCTTTGATAACCAAGGCAACGACAAAGACTTGGATGAGGCCATTGCACTTCTCAGGGAAGCGCTGGTTTTGTGCCCGGTCGATCACACACATCGATCCGGGACATTAAATAACCTTGCAACTCGCCTCTTCTCCCGCTTTCATCACCGAGGCCATGTCGAAGATTTGGATGAGGCTATTGCACTTCAGAGTGAAGCGCTTACTTTGCGCCCGGTTGGTCATGCGGATCGGTACATGCCATTACACAATCTTGCGACTCAACTCTCCTCCCGCTTTAAGCACCGGGGCAACGACAAAGACTTGGACGAGGCTATCACACTTTACAAAGAAGCGCTGGCTTTGTGCCCGGTCGGTCACATAGGCCGGTCCGTGCCCTTAAACCACCTTGCGAATGGACTCTCCACCCGCTTTGACCACCATGGCAATGTCGAAGACTTAGATGCAGCTATCGCGCTTCACAAGGAAGCGCTGGCTTTGTGCCCAGTCGGTCACATTCATCGGTCCGGGTCATTAAATGACCTTGCAAGTCAACTCTCTACCCGCTTTGAGCACCGTGGTAACGGCGAAGACTTGGATGATGCTATTACGCTTTACAAGGAAGCGCTGGCTTTGCGTCCTGTCGGTCACACAGGACGGCCTGTGATATTAAATACCCTTGCAAATGGACTCTCCGTCCGTTTTCGTCACCGAGGCCATGTCGAAGACTTGGACAACGCTATCGCACTTCACAGGGAGGCGCTAACTTTAAGCCCTATTGGTCACACAAATCAACCCTCATCATTGGCTTACCTTGCGAATGGACTCTCTGACTGCTTTCACCACCGAGGCAATGACCAAGACTTGGATGAGGCCATTGCACTTCTCAAGGAGGTGCTGGCTTTGCACCCTGTCGGTCACACACATCGGTCCTCATCATTGAATAATCTTGCAGTTTCACTGTCCACCCGCTTTCATCACAAAGGCAACGATGAAGACTTAGATGACGCTATTGCACTTCACATGCAAGCCCTGGCTTTGCGTCCTGTCGGCCACACACATCGGGCCGGGACATTAAATAACCTTGCGACTCAACTTTCCTCCCGCTTTGACCACCGAGGCAATGACGAAGACTTGGATGAGGCTATTGTACTTCACAGAGAAGCGCTAGCTTTGCACCCTGTCAGTCACACAGATTGTCCTGCGTCATTAAATAACCTTGCAAATGGACTCTCCACTCGCTTTGACCACCGAGACAACAGCAAAGACTTAGATGAGGCTATTACGCTTCACGAAGAAGCGCTTGCTCTGTGTCCTGTTGGTCACACAGATAGGCCTATTGCATTAAATAGCCTTGCGAACCGACTCTCCACCCGCTTTGAGCACCAAGGAGACGATGAAGACCTAGATAACGCTATTGCGCTTCACAGGGAAGCGCTAGCTTTGCGCCCCGTCGGTCACGCAAATCGGTCGGCATCATTGAATAATCTTTCAGCTCGGCTTTCCACCCGCTTTGAGCAGCAAGGCGACGATAAAGACTTGGATGAGGCCGTTGCACTTCTCAGGGAAGCACTGGCTTTGTGCCCTGTCGGTCACACAAATCGGTCTGCGTCCCTACGTAATCTTGCGGATCAACTCTCAACCCGCTTTCATCACCGACGCAATAGAGAAGACCTCAATGAGTCGCAAGAGAATCTCTGCTGCGCATTGACTCTGTTGATGCAACATGATCCTCGTCAATTAGAAGTTCATGCTTCGCTAGCTACGGTCTATCTGTTGTTCCATGAGAATCGATCAGGACTTGATGGCACTGGCTCGGACGAAGATACCGACAGTCTAAATGCTGCCATGAATCATCTCAAGGCAGCAGTAAACATCATCCCTGGAGGTTTGCTTTCCCGCCTGCGAGCAAGTTTACGCTGGGTGCGCCTTGCTAGTCGACATTCACACAGTACCCAACTGGAGGCTTATGAGGCTTGCATGCAACTTCTGGACGCTTACATGTCTGTAACGGCCTCGGTATCGTCTCGTCATGATGCCATAAAGGAATTCCCATCACTTTCCGTGGATGCTGCATCGTGTGCTCTTCGTAGTGGTGATGTGGTTCGCGCTGTTGAGCTGTTAGAACAAGGCAGAACTGTCATATGGACCCAGATGACACGACTCCGCACGCCTCTTGAGAGCCTCCAGACTCGCGGAGATCATGCAGTAGTCCTGGAGAAGAGATTCAGAGATCTCAGCTCCCTTCTTGATAAACCTCCTGCAAGCCATCCAGAAGGAACCCCAAGAGTCGATGTAGAAGCAGAAGACACCCGGTACAGACGTCTTGTGGATGGCTGGAATGGAACTGTAGAAGAGATCCGGAAGATCGAGGGCTTCTCTCGCTTCCTACTTTCCCCCTTGTTCTCCGATCTTCAAGATGCAGCTTGTGACGGGCCCATCGTCGTGCTCGTCGCAAGCAAATCGTCTTGCGATGCCATTGTTATCCCGCACAAGCAACCTCCGACTAGCATTCAACTCCCTACCGATTTTGACAAAGTCTCCAGATTGGTGCTCGCACTCCGAGAGGCAATTAATAAAGAGGCCGGCCCCAAAGGGAGTCAACCAGCGCTGATAAAATGTTTGAGGAAGTTGTGGGACATGGTCATCCGCCCGGTGGTCGAGAATCTGAACGGATTTGCACGACGAGGTTCTCGAATATGGTGGTGCCCGACATCCCTCTTCAATTTCTTGCCGTTGCACGCTGCTGGCGAGTACAGGGCAAATGGAGAGTCCCTTTCGCAGCAATACACCTCTTCATACACGCCATCGCTTACCGCGCTGATCAGGGCTCGCAGAAGTCATGACAGCTCACAGTTGGTGCCCTTCGCTGCCATTGGCCAGGATTTCCCCGCTGGTGCTTCGTTCACTTTGGATTGTGTGGAGCCTGAGCTAGAATTGGTGCGGAGTCTCTTGCCTCAAACTGTTTCCTTCACCAAGGTAATGAGCGTTGATGCAACAAAATCGAGAGCACTACACGCATTGCGAGATAATAGCTGGCTCCATTTCGCGTGTCATGGAACACAAAATTATGACGAACCTTTCAATTCTGCCTTTCTCATGCGCGACCAGCCTCTTTCCCTCCTTGATATCACCCAAATGGATCTCTCTCAGCATCAATTTGCATTCCTTTCTGCCTGTGAAACCGCGGTCGGTGACTCTAAAACGCCTGACGAGGTGATACACCTAGCGGCTGGCCTGCAATTTGCTGGGGTCAAAAGTGTCATTGGGACATTATGGAAGGTTAACGATAATACTGTGCAGCGCTTAGTCGAGGCATTCTACAAGAACATGTGCGGGGATGGCGCAATGAAATCGAAGCGGGCTGCCCGAGCGCTGCACCGAGCGATGCAGTCGTTGGCTTGTGACAAGGAAATTCCATTAGACCAGCGCATAGTATTCATGCATATTGGCATATGATCAATTTCGTACGTCCTTTCTCCCCTTTTTTGAAGTGCTCTTGATACAATCTAACTACTTTGCGTGTAGCATTCAGCCATGGCTACGCTGTCAAGGGCTCAAATTCAATAGTTCAGGCTTTGAGACTGTATACCTCCACAACATGTACACCTAAATTTGACTTCAAGTTCAATTTGTATTTTCCAGTTGTTAGGTTGTTCAAGAAATCATGAGAACTCGTGGAATTACGATACCTGCGTCCGCTGCTAGGTGTAGAAAGTGCGATTTGCAGAGATCATTTATCATCCAAGGTATAACATTTTTGCTGGAGCAGTAGATACCCTAACGCGTAAAGGATACAAGAAGCGGAAAGCTTATGACGAGATGATTGTGTTCAACAAAGGGTTCATGGGAGAACGTGTTTGATAATCACATGATTAGCAATGTGGGAAAAAGCATGTTGATCCAACAATCTCTTGTTGCGGTTGCCACTTGCCAGTGGAATTCGTTGAATTTTGTTGCTCTGGAGGCCTTCATCTCTGAGGCTAGTATGAGATGGAAACTCAGCGGTAGGTACCATTTTCGGTTCTATTCCTCATTATCTGTATAATTTCCTCACCAACTCGGAGCGACTAAAGATGGGTGAGTGTCCTTCAGGGAATTTGTCGTGCGATGGATAATCTGATGTCTTCCAGCAGGGAAACTATGGGCCCGTTAAGACTACAGTAGTCTGCTTCCTCCTGGTTGTCATTTCTTCCAGAGTATGCCCTCAGGCAAGTTGACGCGTTGCGAGCAGGTAAAGCTATCCTTTGACTTTGTATCATTTAAACTCATTTTTATTGACACAGCTTGCTGATTGCCTCAAAAGCAGCTCTTATTTTTTAGGTATTCCAGCCCAGTCTCGATCCTAAGAAGCCGCTTCATGATATAGGGTATGTGTCTGGGTGCTGCCACTGACCCAGCCATGCGGTATTAAGTTTATGGAAGAAGATTGCAGAAGCCGGATATCAGGCCTTCAGGTGTCCGACGATAGAAACGCTCCAAAAAACGCCATCGTATCGATTGATTTAGAAAAGGCGGTTATAATATACAAGCGATCCGTTCGCCTTACTACCATGAATGAGATCTCTATGAACTACTACATAGTACGTTTGCTGTTGTCTTTTCCTCTTCCTGGAATGTCTCGCGGACATTGTGCGTGTATGGGTGTGCGTGGGTGAACGAATCTGTGTGCAGGTCACGCACGAACGTCAGTCCTTGACATGTCGTAAGCAAGTCAGTGGTCGAGCGAGAACGGTGAAGGTAGCCACGGAGTTAGGCAAAACATTGACGACCGCATGCACGTTGGCACAATTTATATTCAGAACAACGCTTCATGCTTGCGAATAATCTTCGACGGGAGCATGCCTCAGCTAGAGTCCACAGAACTGGTTTTCACGTCAGAGGTACACTCCATTTCGACTCGTTGGCGCCAAACTTGCAGTGCTCGACAACGACATGAGCATGCTGCGGCGTTCTGTTCGCGTCCTGGTATCGAACTTCTATTACTAATTTAATCACGTACATGCTATAAAATATGGAACTCTGATCATCTGTCCCCTCTAACTCATCAAGCCATGCTTGCCACCGTTCTGCTGTTTGCTCTGCCATTCTGCACCGCAGAGTCAGCATCCAGTTACGCAGGGTCAACCGTCGTTGATTCTTATCCTCCCCCCGGTGCCACAAACACTGCTGTCAACATTTACTTCCCCGATGGAGCTCAAGTCGGTTATGCAGGTCCAACGCCCAGTCAGTAAAGATTCTGCTTGTATTTCCCGTGTTCTAATAAAAAAACAGCTGGTGCTGAACCTGAGGCCATCGCCACCGCCATTCCGTTCTCCAAGGTCGACAACATATTTCCCTTGTCGAGGCCCAATTCAGCAGACGGCGCAAACATCGCTTTCAATGTGACGCGTCACTGGGGAAACTTGTCGCCCATGTACTCCGTGGACTCGTTTGGTCTGCCTGATGCATCCCCCATCATCCCAGAAGGCTGTGGCCTCAATGCTGTGCATCTCTTGATGCGCCATGGCGCCCGCTATCCAACTTCAGACTCCGGACCTTCTCAGTTCGCCTCAGTAATTCATGATGCTGCATCGAAAGAAGGTTTCAGTGTCACTGGTGATTTGGAATTCCTGGCAACCTGGACATACAAGTTGGGTGCAGAGATCTTGACCCCTTTCGGCCGCCAATCGCTGTACGTTTGCTCTCCTTTACGATATTTCCACTGACGCTCCCTTTCATCAGCTTTAGCAATGGGGTTGCCTTCCGTTACAGATATGGCAAGTTGCTTAATGCATTCACCGACCTTCCGGTGTTTCGTACTACTTCAGAAGGTTTGCCTGCATCGAACGCTTGTTTCACAATGCCCTCTGATGGTTTGCTTGTGTCGTATAGATCGCATGTTAAATTCTGCGTGAGCAATTCATTCGTACTTCTACAAGCGCTGTGCCTGATAATGCTGTCGCTAGCTTGAACTTTGCTGCAGGCTTTTTTGATGTCGGAACTTACCAGACCGACTATCACCAGGAGATCATCATCGAAGAGAACAACTTCAACAACACCCTCGCTCCATATGACGTGTGCCCCAACGCCAATTCGGCGGATATCGGTAACTTCGGCGGTACTCAGTCTAGTAAATGGGCGAACGTCTATCTCAAAGATGCTCGAAAGCGCTTGCAACCAATGATCCAAGGACTTAATTTGACCATCTCGTTATTGGCTGACATGCAGGAACTGTGCGCCTATGAGGTAATCACATCCTTCACGCGGTCTTCATGGGTTTCTGACATCCTGCAGACTGTGGCCCTCGGATATTCCAAGTTTTGCGACCTTTTCACTGAGGAAGAATGGGAAGGATTCGAGTATTACATCGGTATGTTTCCTCGAATGATCCTCGCTGAGCTCAGCAGTGATTTCTATTTTCAGATCTTGGTGAGCGTATCGAGTAGTAAACTTGCAGCCTGAGTGGCTAATGACTTGATCGGGAATAAAGATTTCTGGTACGGCAGTGGACCAGGTAATCCAACAGCAGCAGCACAGGGACTCGGCTATGTCCAGGAACTAGTGTCACGTCTCACTCACACTCCCATCAACGTCTGGAATAGCAGCACCAACAGCACTCTTGACTCGAGCAACATCACATTCCCTCTTAATCAACCTATATATGTGGACGCTACCCACGACGTGGTCATTGCTAGTAGTATGTCGCCACTTCCTTTCCAAAACAAGACTACTGACGGAACGGCTCAGTCGCCACTGCTTTGAACTTTACCAGTCTAGCCGCAACTGGACCTCTACCAACCGACCATATACCTCCTCACCGTGTACGCAGTCTCATAGACCACCGCTTATCTCTATTTCTGACCAGCGACACATCAGTCTTACATCTCTAGCCAGATTGCACCTTTTGCCAGCCAACTTATAGCTCAAGTACTGAGTTGCCCAGCCTCAGAGGAGCCAACTCATATCCGCTTCCTTCTGAACGACGGCGTGGTACCACTGACGGGCATTCATGGTTGCACGGAAGATTCGAACGGTCTCTGCGCGCTGCCCAGCTTTATCAGCGGGATGCACGAACGAATTGGGCAGATCGACTATGCGCATGACTGTTTCGCCAATTATACCATGCCCGATCCCGACGACATCATCGATGGAAGATATCCTAATTAGAAGGATGATTGAGCATATACCCATGCCTTTTGGGGAATGTGAAGGGGAAAGGTAAACGATGCTCATTTCGTACTGATCTGTTTTCGACGGACAGGTTTCATCATTATATATAAAAAGGCTTCGATTCGTTCACCTTGAGACATTCGTTACCATGAATTGCAATAAGAGATGCCAGATACTACGTTTGCCGTCGAAGTCATCGCATAAGCGGGCCACAGAACATGCCCTGGATTGAAAGAGAACGGAATGCGGAATCTGAACGTTTACGAATCTGCCATGGCGCATCTCGTACTAATCCGTTTTTCGAGGGTTTTTTTATATTGCGCATACAGTGGGTACTCTGGAGTTTGTTTAGGTGCGAAGTTCGATTATGTTCCCCGTCTCGGGATTCGAAGAGGTTTTCTGCAGGAATCTCTAGCACCATGTATATTCCAAGGACGTAGGAAGGAATCTTTATATTTGCGCTCCACCACATGATGGTGGCATGTAGAAACCCCAGGACATGCTTGTACTTGAGATCGACTCACAGTTCTATTACATCTTCGCCTTCGTATCCTAAATCGCGTACGATTTGATCCAACATTTCGACGAGTATCTTACCTTCGAGCATAAACGAAGGTCATGAAGCACCTTTCTTCCTCTCCCCCCGATGCATAAAGTCATAACACGCATTCCCCGGTTCAACACCTAAAATGTCTTGCACTCCCTTTCTATCCAGCTCGCACAATTCTCTGACACTCCCCACCCTATTCATCACATACTTGACATTCTTCGCCGTCACTCCTGGTAGACATCGAAGCAGCTCCTCTGCAGCAGCGTTGATGCCTGCGCCCGCCTCTGGGTCTTCCTCTGCGCCGATTGCAATCGCGCGGTTAGGGTCCGGTTCGAAGGCGTTGGCTTTTAGGTCGTTAAATATATCTGCTGTACCATAAGGAGACGACGACCAAATGATTCGAACACGAGGGAAGTGGAGAACGAGGAGAACAAGTTTGGATTGGATAGAGGGAGGGGCGCGATCAGAATCCGTCGGACCTGTTGATTTCTTCGCGGGATATTTGTTCGTGGGTTTGGCATACGATTTTGCCGATTCTGCTACGGTCTGAAAGACAGGTGAGACGGGAAATATTTGAAGACACGTCGTGTGAGAGATACCTCAAGGGAGAACGCTTTGTTCTCCTCGAACTCGATGAGTAATACAGGCTGCTTATAGTGCACCGACATCAGCTCGCATTGCGTGTATCTGCGACTCATCAGCGATAAAGAAGCACGTATCCGAGAGACTTACAATCGACCACTATTGAAACTAGCGACTAGATCAGGAATGCTCTTCCTCTCGATGCAAATATCCGGCGTGAGGATATAATCTCCGACAGTCAGCGTCGCAGGAATAACGAGCAGGCCAGATGCGTGAAGAAGCGAGGGCAGTGTGGAACGGAATTCGCGCATGTCGACGATTACCTGCGATGGCACGGTACTCAACTCCTTCCTTCCGCCTGCGAGACGAGTGCTGATCGTTTTGATGACTGCATCGCTTTTCCCAGCGTGTTTGTCCTCGAAGATAGGCAGGAGCATAGACTAGACAGTGGCGAATGACTCGTACCACACGCAAGACAGTGAAACGAAACGACGCACTCCACGTTCCTTAATCAACTTCTCGAAAGACTCCTTCTCGCGCCTCAGTCCAGCGAGGTACTTGTGCTCCTCGCAACAGAGTTGGTAAATCATGAAATATACACGGACGCCCATACCAGGGTTCGAGTTTCTGTACACCTATCCAAGTTGCTACATTAAACTCGAGGGTATCAACCTCTCATCATATGAAAGACTGACCTCGATGCGCCTCACAAAATCAAGGTTGGGTTCAAACATCACAATAAATCTCGGCTGCAGTTCCGCGAGAATTTGGTCGTCGGTGTCATCAGTATATGCACGCACAACAATCATCTGCGAGGGTGCAATCAAGCCGTAGTGCGTGTCGAAGTCCATTTCCACCTCGCTTGACAGAAGCGCTTCAAGGAGGAGAGCGTCTGCATCAGAGGAGACAAGGAGGTCCGCAGGTTGACTTGAGAGACTAAGTTCAATCTTAGTAAGGAGTACACAATTATAGGCACACTGACGTACAAGGCCGCGATGACATCTGCATCGTCTCTTGACTCCACTTTTGGATCAACAGCCGTCGGTTTACTTGGTACAACAGTCATTGGTGCACCGCCACGCACCCTTCTCCGATTCGCACTTCGCTCTTGTCTCGCCTTGTCCTTCCTCTTCAAAGCCTCACTAATCTCACCCTCGGGTTGCAATAATGGCTGTGGCTTGGGGGCAGAAAACTGGGGTGGTGGTTGGTGCCTTGGTTGTTTTTGTCTGACATTCTCGCCTTTCCAATACAGGTATCTCCGTAATTTGCGCTCCATCATGGATCGTCCACGAGAGCCTTTCGGAGCAGTGTCGTCCATCTCCCCCAGGAACTCATTCACAAGGGCAGAAGAGCGTGGAGAAGAAGTCATGACAAGTACCGTGTTTGTCCCGCGAGTTGGTGGACCTGACGTGCGTCAAGCAAGAAAATTGTTCGGTCATCGGGACTCACGAGTCGACACTGCCTCCTGTCTCAGCAACTCTTCCTCGATTTCTTGAAGTACGTCTGCTAGGAGATCCCACTTTGGAAGCTCTTCGAGCACCGGAGACATGTTATCCGGAATCCATGGGTTCTTTTCTTCCTTCTTCTTCTTCCCGTTATCTTCCTTCTTCCCGTTATCTCTACTGCTGCTTCCCGTTAATCCATGTGCCTCATCAAATGCATCCCATGCATCTTCATCGTCCACGTCAATCACTTGCCTCTCAGGGACAACGGTAGGTTTTGGAGCAGTAAGGACATAACACCGTCGTTTTGCGGTGCTAAAAATGATGTTGGCTGCATCAGTGAGCATCCAAGGGGACTGATGTTGTTTAGCTGCCCCAGTTACGCTTGTGGTATTTGAGGCTACGAGAGTTTCGAGGTATGCATGAAAAGCGAGCGCGTCATAGGACAACAGGTACCTTGATAAAGAGCCCAGGTCAGTGGCGGTATGAAACGGACATCATAACACATGAAGTATTGTGAAAATGGCAGAGATCGAGTGCACGATGAAAAGAGTGAAAGACATACGTTAATAGACGTCTGAGCGTCGCGAGGTCACCTACAAGTTGCTTCGTCCGTGGACCGACCTTGTGCCATACGGGGTCTAATTGCCTGCGGACTACTGCATCAAAGGAGCGGAAGTATGCAGACTCGATATTAAGATCATCAAGTTCGAGCTGTAAGACGAATGAATGGAAATTTGTTTAGATGCAAAATAAGGCAGCTCGAAGATTCTTACTGTCTTATTAGCTCTCTTGAGCTCGGAAAGGGTGATGGTCATACATTGGACTATCGCGTGGTGAATTGCCTCCATAGGTTCTGTAAGACGCTGATACAACTCGATGACATCGGCTTTACGAGTTTCGAGCGTGTTCTTGACGTCTTCGTGAAATCTGGAGCCAAAAACGGATAAGAAAGACGGAAAAAATAACGGCAGAAGGCGAAAAACACGAACATCAGTGAGGAAGGAGGTCACCCACCGTGGATATATGTGAACGCGTCTCAATTGAAGCTCCTTCATGATGTTCTTCAGCGGAGACATGCCACTGGTGATATGTTCAGGCTGGTCCGAAAATGCTTTGAGAAAGCCAGCCTTATTCTTTTCTCGGTACAGCCGGACGATGAATGCTTCAAGGGAAAGAGCAGTGACCCTAAGCGATGCATCGATTCATCACGGAGCACAACGCAGAAGAGCCGTCACGCACTTTTCACCGTGTAAAACAATTAAACCCGTTATGAGCTCCGTTGGGATGTCGGACTGCAGCATGTCAACGATAAGAATGCGAGAGGTGACAGAAATGAGGCCGCCATTCTTGTAGAGGTCCTGTCTGCAAACGTCGCGTTAATATGCTGCTGAAAGAACGATGCGAATAGTTACAAGTCATTTTGAAAGTGATCGTTTTTCCACCATGGGTATGAATGACTTACCTATCCCGCTTTCCCATTTCATAACCCACAATGCGCAATCCAGGCCGCCTGCACCCCATAATACCCAGTTCGTCCCCTATAGCAATCTCCTCTTCTGGTGAAGCGTTCAAGAGCAAAATAAGGCTTTGCTTTGAGTCGTATATTTGCATGAGCGTGCATATGATACGACGAAGTCCAAGTCCACGGGCAACGATGAGCAAGTCTGAAGTTGCAGGGTCGTGAATCTCCTCAAGTATTGATTTGTGGAACGGCAGGAGTATCGACATTGTGATAATAAGATTGATTTCAAATTATGTGCGTACAGTAAGCTAGATGTGATGTGGAGTGTGAAGCCAACAGTTAATTAGCCAGAACATCCATTGCGGACTGCTTTACCGACATTAACTTTGGTACTCACGTGATCACGGATCACCTCTACGACGTTCGGTCAAACTACACACCGTATTACAACATATAAGTTTTTCTTTTCGTCACTAAGGTCTACTACGTACACTTTTAAGGACACAAAACACACGAGATTCAGGTAGCGAGGCTCCCCTTCCATTCAGTCACCAACGATCTATTCGCAAGACGGCTCATGTCAATATGGTTCGACACGATATTCTCCAACAGATGCTCCACATCTTGTTCCGCCGTCGCCAGTTCCAGGTAGTCCAAAACATGCGGACCCATTTCCTTCGCAAGGCTTTCTGCCCTTCGCCTCAAAAACAGAATCAGAAAGCTACGATGAGCTGAAGCAAGACACAGGTGAGTAAGCACGGGGGCCGGGCTGCTGTTTTTGGGATCATCGGGATCGGCACCATCAGGATACATATTGAGTGCATGGATGAAACACTTCTCCGGGTTGACGAGGACGAGGCTTCGAAGGCGCAAACATGTCTGTAACATGCGGTAAGCCAGAACAACACGACCCTCGTAAAGTTGTTTCAACGCATCGTCGTCTTGCAAGAAGAGGTCGGAGAAAATAGGTGATAGCCTAAAATGTTCGAGTACGAGCGTTTCAATTCGTTTAAGTTGTGGGGTCCATACATAAACTAGATGTTCGAGAATGTTCGTAGAAGAAAAATCGTTGAAGGGTTGAAGGGCAGGCATGTTCTGGAAGTCCTGATTGTTTAAGTGCTGGGGCCAGTGCTGAGCGAGAATTGAGCGAGAGATGTCACATAGCTTGAGGTGCTTCAGCGCAGGTGCCTCGAAGCCAAGGAAAAAATTTATAGCTTCCCACTGGGACAGATAACCGAGCGTAAGGTCAATGAGCCTAGGCAAGTTCGACGGCAACTCATCCGCGTCACGGGGTAGCCTCCCAAACTGCTGAATGGCGCCTTGGATTTCGAGCTTTTCCAGAGTTTCTCCGTTGATTGTAAGGATGTTTTTCAGCATATCCATCGAAGGTCGGTCGTGTAAGGCCATGAAGTTGATCGATAAAGATGTCAGCCGCGTTAAAGACCACCGAGACCATGAGACTGGGATTCCAGAAGATGTAACCCGCGTCAACCTTGGGTGCAAATTGTTCACTACCTGTGCAAACTGTTCTTCATGTTGGCGAGCCAGGAAAAGAAAGCGCGGTATGGGTGGTGGCGGCATAAATGGGAAAAAGGATAGGACTGTAGTGCCAAACTTCATTTTGTAAGTCTCCAGATTCTCCATTGGGGCTGCCCTTAAACGATTTATGACGGTCCATGCAACTTCCAACACGTCACAGTGTACCGAGAGATATTTGATGCGTGGTAATACCAGGGGGAGCCAGTCCATTATTATTACCGTGCCTGATCGAAGATATCCGAAGTTGGGTATAGTGAGCAATTTGAGTCGGACAGACAACGAACGGACTCCAGAGCGGAAGGCGAACTCCCTTGCACGAAGAAGAGATGTGTTGACGATAGCAAGCTGTCCATCCGAGTCAACGTCGTACATGGTATCGCTCGTGATGGTGATATCCGTCCACAGAAAGGAGCAGCTGATAGCGATATCGCGCCATTTGCCGCAAACATGCGATACCAAGACCGCAAAATCAATACGTTTTTGGGAGTTGCGACAGGACACGCCCGACTCGAATATGTGCCAGAAAAGCTCTGGAGGCAAGTCATTGATCGGACACTTGCGCTGGAGTTCGCGGCTGCCAGACGCTTCCACGCACTGAGCCGCGGGTGGTGCATTATTTGGAGCGGGCATTCGCAAAGATCCTTCTATTTTGGTTGGTTAATTGGTTTGTTAGGGTTAGGTAGCAAGTCGAAATAAAGAATACAGTGGTTACGATGATTCGAAAGGGACTGGCCCGTTGAGAAGAGAGCGGTTACAAGAAAATGATGGTCGACAGACCTACTTAAATACCGTCCAAGGCAGGTCCAAGTCACTAGCCACAACTTCAATGACATTTGTCCGCAGTCCACAGTGACAAAGGCCAGTTCGTGACTCCACATACTTTGTGGCACGTTCGTTGATAGGGTATGTTGAAGAGGGTGCACAACTTGTTCTGTGCTTTGGGTGCCAGAATCCATTTTTGTTCATTCGTCGCTTTTGTTTAGAGCTGGCCAAACAAAAGGGTCCCGCCTTGTGCTGTGGCCTTGGGCAGACATAGTGACCCATTGTTGCTTCATAGTTGCTGGAATGTGACGGCGGTTAAAGTTTCCGACCAGTGTCGTTCTGGGTAATTTTGCCCCGACGAAGCATCGTAATAGGCAGGACCCTTCTGTTTGGCTAGCTCCGCAACTAAACAAAAGCATATGAAGGTAACATAGTATACGCAACGGTCAAGTTGTTTCAAACTACTGTACGACGCGACTCGGTCCTCCTTTACTGCCTATAGATCACCCATGACCAAACAGTTTTCAAGTACCCTATGCTAACCGTTGTGCTGCGATAATTCAAACTCAGAGGCGGCAAGCGCAAAGACAGTGAGTGTCAAATCCGTCGAAATCAGGTTGAAATCGGATTTCGGCGTTGTTCAGACCCAAGTGCAAATCCACGTCTAAATCGCACCCAAATCAGCCTCGAAATCCAGTTTTGAACTCCCCTAATGTCGCATTTAGGATGGGATGAAGGAACCATGTGATAGGTGTGCATACACTTGAAACTGGGAACGTAGACGTTGCAGCAGGACATCACTCGGCCTAGCGCTGACTCGCCGTAGCGTGAATCGTCTCATAAAGGACAACTCTGAATCACCGAGGTGGAGCGTCGCGTTTTAATGCTTGAGCATTGGTAGAGTCTGTAAAATAGATCTGGAGGAAGTTAGAGGCGGAGAGTGCACGTACAGGTGAGGCGGACATACTCTCAGAACCATTAGGATAAAGGAAGTACACGACAGATACGCATGCGCGCAGTTGGAACCGGAGATCCATACGTTACAACCAGCAAGCAATGGATAATCAGTACATGCTATGTATTTAGCAAGATCGGAGCGACATGGGAACCTCAGCCCGCGGCATCCTGATTTCTAAGGGCTGCATGTCTTCTCAATAGAAAAATTTCTTCGATTATGGTTTCAGTGCTGACGAGAACAGGTATAAAATTAACGCGGTTGAGTTGAAAAGGCCTCAGACACAAACGCCTCCTATTGCGGTGAGTAGCCCTCTTCCGCCACACCATGCGCATTTCATTGAACCGACATATAATAGCTCTTCTAAGACTTTGTCCGAGTCATAGCAACTTCACGCACATTGCGCAATTAGACTTTTGTCGGTGTGTGGTATCCTCACATGGTCACATCGTAGGCTGATGCACAGTTATACCAGATATAATCCATGCCATGAAGCTCATTCAAATCGTTTATCTCACAATCCTTGCGGACCTTGCCATTCCCAGTGCTATGTTTACCCCAGTGGCACTGGCAGCGATACCTAATGTATTCTGTGATCCACCATACGTCCACTTTAAGGACTCTTTGGTAGGGTGCAGCCAAGGGAAAACACCTATGCAGGTCTATAAACCCAACGGACGGTTTGGGGCATGCTGTGTTCAAGCAACTGCCGCGAATTCATTGGCTGAACAGATATAGTGCTAAAACTATTTAAGTGACCTTCCAAGTTCCCACGAGCTGGATCTTCAGTAAAGCTGCAAATAGAGGGATGTCTAGCAAAAATAGGTTACCTGGGCCTGTGACGTGAGTCCATGTGAATAACATTTTTGGCATATCAGACCGATATTTCACGAAACACGAGTGCCGATTTCTTCACTCTTCAGAAACAGCCTCGTGAGCACAATCAAAGTATGGCTATCCTGTTCAATGCGCGTCTCCAGCAATCGGTGCTATCAGTGCAGAATTCAAAACCCACAATCCTTGCCACTCCCAGTGCTATGTTTGCCCCAGTGGCAGCGATACCTCAGGCCTCAGGGCTTATCCTGTGACGCACCATCCGTCGTCAATAAGGAGGATTTGGGACCTTGCAGACCAAGGAAAGAGCCTATGCATCTCAATCTGCCCGACGGACGGTATTGGGCATGCTGTTCTTTGCGTCAGTGCTGTTAGTTTTCGTGGTGATGACGAAAAAATCACATATATTGGTTCAACGAATATATCTGATTCGTACAAATAGGAGCAATCACTGCGGAAACGAGATTTTGACGAGGGTATCCATACGGTGTGGAGTTGAATTCGAGAGTGAAAGTACAAGGGAGTTGGCGTTCAATGTTCAGTTGTGGCCTATTGCAGAGTCCACACGACGGGTTATAAACCACCCTCTGGAAACTAGAAACGGAGAGCCTGTTTTAGGTCAAGTTCATTGTTCAGCATGCTTCACAAACAGCTGACCTGTTCGTCGACGTATGAAATGATTCTTTTGACGCGTTAGTATTCGCCACTGTGACTCGGAAGGGCACAGGTACAAAATTTCACAGCGATTTACGAGACTTAGAACCATTATGCCGTTTGATGAGATCTGGTCATTGTTCGGAGTAAAGTCATGATGTAGTAAGGAAGGGTCGCATTGCAACTTGACCTGGTTTTCACTCGACTTCTCCGGTGTTACGAGCGCTCCGAACGTCAAAATGGGATAAGACCAGACTGCTCGTGCAGGATAAGACTAGTGATGCGGAGGTTCGGTTCTGAACCGCGGTTCGAACCGGACCTTTCGTGGACTGGACCACGGTCCAGTTCAATGTTCAGAGTATAGGCTGAACTGGACCGATGGTCCAGTCCAGCGTTCAGCATTCCTTGAACGCGTTGAACGCGTCCGAACCTTTTTGAACTGCTTCCATTTTAGGCTACTCACACATACGAGATGACATCACCCACACACGCAATACACTCCAGCTTCGTCTGGCTCGGGAGTTGCTGACATGATCTGATAGGTTGGGCTGGACCGAGCGTTAGCTCGGGGGGGACACAGGCAGGGTGGAGCTGCTCGGGAGGGCGGGACACCTACCTACGAATTCGACCATGCCATAGGACTATCGAGTGACGGAACGAATGGTAATGAATAACATGTCGTGAAATACAACTATTTACATAGCGCGGAATTACGAAGTATGAAATGTAGCGTGAAAAATTTGAGGGAGTGGTGGGTGGGTAAAAGAAACGATTGTAGGTACGGACAGTAGTGAGGAAGTATGCTGTACGATGAACTCGTCGTTGTGTAGGAAAGGAAAATAGATACAGAAGCAAATAGCACGCGTGCTCAGCTGGACGTATGGTGCCGAGACATTCCGGCAGGCTCCATTTCTCGGCACCTGTACATTCCAGCTTCGTCTGGCTCGGGAGTCGCTGACATGATCTGATAGGTTGGGCTGGACCGAGCGTTAGCTCGGGGGGGACGCAGGCAGGGTGGAGCCGCTCACCCAACTAGCCGGAACGATCTGCGGCTCATAGCTGCCTAGCCCAACAAGACGTGGAGGCGACGGTCATAACGACGCTGCGTTGGCCATGTGCTGAGAGGAAATTTGTTCGAATGCACGAATATATGTTTCGTACGCTAATGACTTCCAGCGGCCGGCAATGCGAACTATTTCGGGGTCGACTTTCTTCGCGAGATAAAAGGAAGCACCGCCTATTCGAAAGGAGTGACCGAAGGACGTGCCCCAACCCCAGGCTATTAGAATTGAGTTGATGCGTTCCAAGGCTCGTATTTTGGTCATTGGACGAACATCACCTTTGCTGTCGCGCCACAAAAATAAAGGATCGTTCGCGAGGGCGGGAACAATTGAAGCCAGGTTGCGGAGAGCTGATAAGGGACATAGGTTTCCTTGCTCGTTGAGAAATACTGATTGTGACTCTCCGGTTCTCGCTGTTTTGGCGGATGGCAGATCGAGACGTGCGTAAGGGTTGTTTCGCAGATCGTGTCCGAAGAATGCGTGAGCGCGGGTGAGGTGTTTGAGTGGATTGAATGCAGAACGAGAGGCGACGGAGACTTCGCCAAAGCGCATCATACCAAAGAATGCGCACGACGCCATTGCCCAAACACACACGTGTCGAACGGGTCTGATAATATGAGGGTGGATTTGATGGCCGTGAGCATCGCGAGTGAAATTGGTGGCCGGAGAGGTTTTCGACGGTCCACCGTGCAAGTTTTCCAGGCCACGCAAGGACCAATTAATGCGATCATGGTGAGAATCAGATAGTGGCAGGGGCCAACCTTGCGCAATGTGCCAGGCTCGCACAGCAGACAGGTATTTACGTGCTACCCCGACTGAAACAGGCTCGAATGCCACAGTAGTGCCACTATTAGCTGAAAGAAGTGGATCGCTAGGGTCTGGATCTGTGACAGCCCATAAGGCAAAGGAATGCAGCACTTCAAAAGACGCTGGAAGGCGGTTAGATTCTGGAATCGAAAAAATATCACAGAAGATGTGAAATTTTCGTAATCCGGCACCATAGCTAGCCGTGTCACGGAGAGATGCTCGGTTGGCCAAATTGAATTACCGGGTTATCAATCGTGGACGAGGGTGGAGAATTTACACCTCACCACATGAAAAGCCATTCTGATGCTCAGCAATTTGGGCAGAGATGCGATGAGATCGTGTTCAATATGGGGGGTGTTGAAGGTGGGTGACTGACAACCAGAGATACGTGATGCAGTGCCCTTACAATAATTGGACGAGTTTGCCTGATAAATGCGGTGGTAGGGGAATGGAAACTGGACTCGCTGCTCCAGGGAAACCACTCAAAAAGGTCTCGACATCGCTGCGAGACAAGGCATCTGAGATATTGGTGCGAGTGGGCATGTAGACTGCCTGTAGACGAAAGCCATTCTCTGCCTGCATCCGATACACATGCTTCAGGACCGCATTCGTTTGAGGGCTGCGGGAACGGCCTTTGTTCGTCACTGCCACTACTCCGATGTTGTCCGAGCGCACTAAATAGGTGATGTTTTCTGATGATCTGCGGTGCATTATGATACCTTCGAATTTGTTAAAAAAAATAAGTCGGTGGAAGGCTGAAATGATAGGACAAAATTACCCAAGTGCAGGGCCAATCGAAGCCCAAGTTCTATTGCGGTGGCTTCCGCCCAACCAATGTCGAAATCCCGCTTTGGGCCGACCTTGAAACCTGTTGCCCAATGCCAGACGGCCCAGTGCTTCTGAATGACCACTCCGATGCTGAAGGAAGTACTTGCATCTCCCCACCACCCAATGTCCACTGGTGACGGGTCTGTGATGAGTATCGAGTTTGGAAGGAGTGATAGTAGAGATTGGATCCAGGGCAGATCCGCGAGAACAGCTGCGGACGGGCGAAGATGTGCGCGTGGAGAACAGAAATTGGATGCGAACACTGCTAAAGCACGCAAGAACGGACGGATCAGAGGGAAGATACATGCCATGTGCACAAGTTTTCCGTGCAGACTGGCAGCCTCCTTTGCAGTGAATGTGGCTCCGAGGCTCAGCCAGAGCGTGATTGTGTCCTGCACTTTGCGGAGCTTGTCCTCCGGCAGCGAAACTCGCTTGAGGTCCAAATCCCAGTCAAAACCAATATATCGTTGGATGGAGGCAAAGAGCCGAAGCTTCTCGAGGCTCCACGGTACTCCGCAGTGGGCTGTTAAGGCTATGAAATCTGCTTCGGTCCATGATTGGTGTGGGAGGCGGATGACTAGGAAATCGTCTACCCATTTTCGGATGAGTTCGAAACCGGCTTTGTTGTAAATGGCTATGAGCATGTCGGCGACAGAGCCAAAAACACCAGCACTGGAAGTAAGGCCGAACATGAGAGCTCGATCCACGTAAACAATTCCTTTCCAGAATATGCAGAGGGCATTTTGCTGCCAGGGTATTACTGGAATTATACGATAAGCTGAAGAGACGTCGAAGGTTGCTGCAACACAACCGGGGGGAAGCGTGAGGATGAGGGCGGCGGTCTCGTCGAATGTACCCCAGATGGTAGGAAAGTCGTCTGCGCTGATTCCGTCGTTTATGGACTGTATATTTGGGGAGTTGCGTGGGTAGGATAGGTCCTGCACTATGCGGAACTTGCTGGAATGTGGCTTTGGGACAAGGCCCAGAGGGGAAGTACGAAATGGTCCGATTAAGAGTTCAAGGTCTGCGGGGCTGAAACCTGTAGAATATCTGCCTGCGGCTTGTTCTGAGAGTATGTACGCGTCGATTATGGAAGGATTGAGTAATGAGGACGAGTGATTTTCGAAATAAATGAGTAGTGGGTGGTGATTCTGAGACACCAACATTGAAGCCGTTATGTATACCGTCAACGATATGACGCCAATCATTAAATATACCATATGTACAAAGGATCTCTTCCACCCGGAGGTAGTCGAGCAGGGTGACAACAGCACGTGGGTCACCCGTGAGCCTTGCAGCTCCCGGCGCCGTGAGAAGAATCTCCGCAGATGCTGCAGGAGTGGACATTTCTGCAGTTGGGACCGAAGGTGCAGATGGATCCATTGGCCCAATTAAAGCAGTAATGTTTTCCGTTTGAGGCAGCGAGTGCATGCTTGCTCCTGGTGTTGGTAGCGAGGGCTGCAACCGGTTTTCCCGCTGCGGTTGTATCGGCGGAACAGTCAGCGGGCAAGTGGCCACTTGCTCCGCAACGAAAACAATGGCTCGATACAAGTGTATGCGACTTTTTACGAGGGGAAGAATGAAAATTGCTCGGGGCAGCTCGCTTAGAGGGTGAGATAAACGGAGCAGACTGAGGTATGATAGCAGGAATTTTATTATTTGCAATGGTAAGGGCCGCTACGTTGAGGCCGGCAAGATTATGCTCGTGGTTGGCATGAGCCAATTCTCTTTGCTGCACGTCGTAGTGCATTGCCATGGACCAGCCATGCGTACGGCTGATATCGAGAACTACGAGATGGTGAGATACAAGGGCTGACGCCCGAGCCTCGCCCCAATAGTGCAGGGTTCTATCCTCAGCAGCCTTTGCTGCCGCTATCCAATCAACTGTTACAATTAAGAGCTCGTTTGCACGGTCGAGACCTTTAGCTGCAAGCCTGTCTTGTGTAAAGATGAAGGCTGAGTCCTCTCCACGCAGGAAAGCCTTCGAGCGAGCTGCGTGTGTGAGAGCTGTGTATGGAACGTAGCGATATTGCTTAAAAGCCTCCTCGACTTTGAGGGGTATGGCTAGAACGGAGTATGTCAGAAAAACGAGTATAACGGTGCGGCAAAATGGGGGATGGAGCAGATAACATAAAGAAAAACGGAGCCACGAAGAAAAACCGACACGGTAAGGTGCGGAATTCACGAGTGAAAACGGTGATATTGCCTAACTAGGCTGATGGCTTGGTGTGGTGCTGTCGGTGAGCTACTGAAAGGTAGCCGACGATGCGAGTGCAGTATATGTGGGATAACCACGAACCGATACGAACAACGGTGGAGACGGACTTATGCAAGCTCAGAGCACTGACTTTGTGCCCTGGTTGGAGGGCAGGTAAGACGAGCCGTTTAGGCTCGTCTTTAGTGCCAGCGAGGTTTGCTTGTATACGGTCGACATCTGCAGGGTTCGCTACCAGAGCTTGTTGAGGAGCGGGGGCTCTGGCCGGTATATGGATGCCGTGAGCGTCCCCACGCTCGAGCTCGGCGATGCGTGCCCTTAGAGCGGCGATTTTGTCCGCGGGTGCGGGTGCAGCTGCTGGTGGTGCTGCTACTGGCGGTGCTGCTGCTGGCGGTGCTGCTGCTGGTGGTGCTGCTATTGGTTGTGCGACCTGAGGCGCTGGAATAGGCGCTGCGGGTTGAGTGGCGTGAACGGCGGAGGGATGGGCATGCTGTGATGCTGGATGCTGGGCTATCTGCGATGCAGGCAGCTGAGGTGGACCAGCTTGGGCTGGGGGCCTTGGGGCAGCAGCTGCTCTGCTGCTTGGAAGAGATGGCGTTGTGGATGACGACGGCTGTGCGATTGAATTGGAACCAGATGCGGATGCAACCTGGGTTGATGGGGGAGTAATGGGAGCATTTGGCGCCCCTTCGTTTAATTCGATACCGAGGTGCTGATACATTAGAAATTGTAAAAGAAACGATTGTAGGTACAGACAGTAGTGAGGAAGTATGCTGTACGACGAACTCGTCGTCGTGTAGGAAAGGAAAATAGATACCGAAGCGAATAGCGCGCGCGCTCAGCTGGACGTATTGTTACGACTTGGATGGTATCTGTTGGCGACGCTCAAACAGAGCTTGTGTCGTCAACGGTCTGTGGACGTCCTTGGGCTAGCCCAAGGTTAGGGGTCGTACTTGGCGTGTCTTCGGCAAGTACGATTTGACGCCTATGTCCAAATCGGGTAGCTTATGTCACGCGGGTGCGAGACGATAAGCTAAATCGGCCTAGGCTTACGACACCCGAAGGTTAATCGTAAGGATCGTCGTTAATTAGAAGGACAGAAGTCCGACTAGTTAACAGGGGCTTTGTTCGTCGACGAAGTCGATGAGCAAAGGTCGAGACTATAGGCTTATCCGCGAAGAGCAGATAAGAAGATAGAATATAGACTGCTGGCGAGGCAGAAGGATCACTCTGGTGAGAGTAGGAGGTCAAGAACCAAGTAGATTCAAGTTAGGGGATATAGTACATGGTAGCGAGTTTATATAGAGGACAGGAGACGTATTAGTGGGTGATAACTCGTACTACCGGGAGAGGCAATCGGTAAAGGGTATGACTATAACAGGAAGGCACGTTCGGTCGAGGTAGAACGTGCTTTAGATAAGAAAGTGAGTCAACGATCGGAATAAGAAGTGAAACATGCAGGGGCACGATCGTGCAGCTGCGGATCTAAGTATAAGTCGCATGTGCGACTGCGCACTGAGTCAGAGATCGAGAAAGGGAATAGGGCAAAGGGGACTGTCCACAGGATCAGTCAGGTGGTGGAACGGAGCATGGGTATGCTTCGTCAGCGAAAGGGTCCGGCCAGATGTACTGGCTTTGCTGAAGCGACAGGTAGAGGGCGAAAGGGAATGCGAGGATGACAAGGATGACAAGGGTAAGGTCG